GGATGGGATGGGATGGGATGGGATGGGATGGGATGGGATGGGATGGGATGGGATGGGATGGGATGGGAAAGGTTGGTAGGAGTGCACTGTGCACAGGAGGGAGCCAGGAGGTTGTAGGGGGGCTCACCCTTCGCATGGCAGGCCGCAGGGTCTGTGCCAGGCGCCGCAGGCTGCTGAGGTCCTGCTGGAAGCCGCGGAGCTCCAGAGCAGATGCCTGGTAGGTGCCACGCAGCTGCTGGCTGGCACTCATCTGCTGCTGCCACAGGTTGGTGCGGGTGACCAGGAGCAGGTCGCACAGTAAGAGCTGCACCGCCTGTGGGAGGAGGGGAAAGATAGGGAGGAGTGGGTGAGCAGAGGGTGGGCGGAAGGATGGGGCACACAGCCAAGGCCCTCGCGGGCAGGCGGGCGCTGTGCGGGACCCCCGCCGGGCTGCATGGCAGGGGCATTGCACTCCCAGTCTGACACATGCAATGCAACTACAATGCACCCCCACGAGGGCCGGGGACGCCTCCTGCGAGGGCCGGGCACTCCCCCAGGGCTGGGCTGTGTCTTGTCCCCTCCCCGACCTCACCTTGTCGATGGTGCACTTGGGGGGGCTGCAGAGCTCCAGGCTCTCCCGCAGGCAGCTGCTGGCCTTCTCACAGTGGTTCAGGCTGGCCTGGCTGCCGTCCTGTTTGTTCAGCATGGCCCGGACCGCCTTGAAGGAGTGCAGTGCAGCACGGGGAAGGGGCTTCCTGCACGGGGACAGCGGGTGCCCATCAACATGTGTTGCACCAAACCACCCCAAAAAGGAACATATATGAGGAGTTGTTGCCCACCCGGCCCCACTGCCCCCAGCACTCACTCAGAGCTCTGCAGTGCCCGGGGCATGGCTTCCACCAGCGGGTAGAGCCGCTCAGCCCCCTCCTCATCACCCTTCAGCCAGTGAATGACCGTGCTGATGAGAGACGCCCACCACTTGGACACAGGGTCGGTGCCTGTGGGATGGGAGGGACAGAAGCACAGAACCTTAGGGGTTTGTTGCAAGGGACTTCTGAAGACCATCCAACCCAACGGGATGGAGCTGGTTCTGAGGGGGAAGCCCTCGAGGTGTGGGATGTTGGCCTCACCTGTCACTGCTGCCAGGCCAGAGCTGATGGAAGGTGTGGGGCCGGGCATGCTGCTGGCATGGGAGCAGCCATTGAGCAGCTGAAGGTACTCCAGCGCATCCGAAAAGCGCCTTCTGGCAGAAGGGACATGAGTGGGGCTGGCCCCACTGCAAGCAGAGGGAAGGGACACCCCGTGGTATCCATCCCACACTCACCCCTCTCCCTGGGCAGCAGGACGGCCAGGTTCAGGCACGGCCACGCAGTACAGCGCCTTCTCCAGGAGGTGCTCACGGAAGAGCTGGGTCACCTGCGCCAACGGGTCCACTGCGGCACAGAGCGGCCATCAGCCCCCATCCCACCATCAGCCACAAAATGGGGCTCTGGGGCTCTGGGGGGTACCTGGGTCACCAGCAGAGCTGTAGATGGTCTCTCTCGGGACGCCCTTGACGGCCCAGTCCCCGTCCACGAAGAAGCGGTGACCCAACGGGTGGCAGAGCCACTGCATGGCGGGGGGCACAGCCCCACCATGGGACAGGGCCACACGGCGGGCACTGCAGAGGAAGGGGCGCTGCGAGGAGAGCAGGGGTCAGCGGGGCCTGGGAGGGCAGGGGGACATGCAGCATTGGGCTACAGGGATGGGGCCAGGGACATTGATCCCATGGAGGCTGAGGGGGGCAGGATGTTGGGCTGCTGGGGGGTGGAAAGGCAGGGGTAAGAGGCCACGATATTGGGTCCTACTGTGGGTTACCTACTAAGGTGGGTATGGAGGATGTGGCACCAGGTCCTGCAAAGAGGACACCAGGAAGGGGACAGAGGGGACACGAAGGCGGTGACAGACTCACAGCCAGGAAATGGAAGCAGCGATGCAGGCTGGCCTTGATGCGCAGTGCGGCCGCCACGTAGATCTCAGCCAGCGCAGCCACCGAGACGGCGTCACCGGCGCACTCAGCCAAGTTGACGGCACTGAGCGCCAGGTTGATGGCCAGCAGGTGCCCCCCGGCCTGCTTCCCTGCGGGGACACGGGGCAGCACGGGAGTCAGCAGAGTCCCCCGCTCCATCCCAAGGATGCTGTGTGGCACAGAACCTACCAGCCAGGTGCAGCTGGTGCAGGCGGTGGTAGGCCATGGCTGCGTTGCGGGCGCTCTGTCGGACGTGGGCGCGGGGTGGGGGATCTGGGCGCAGCCCCCCAGCGCGGGCAGCCAGCCAGCGGCCCACCCAGAGGCGCTGGAGCAGGTGGCGGAGCAGGCTCCACAGCAGGCTGCAGGCCAGGTCCCCGTGGGAGGCGGGCAGCGGGCGGCCCAGGGCCCCCAGCGCCGTGCGGAGGTGCTGGGCACCCTGCGCGAAATCCCCCTGGGACAACAGAGAGCCGTCAGTGGGAGGAGCCAGGGGGGAAGGGGTGGCGCTGGGGGCGCGGTCAAGCGTGGGTGCGGCCAATGGGAGGGGGAGGGCTATTTGCATGCGTGCGGCCTGTGGGCGTGGCCAGGGTACGTGCGGCCAATGAGGGGGCAGTGCGATGCGAGGGGGCGTGGTCAATGGGAGGGCGGGGCGTTGGGGGAAAGTGAATGGGGGCAGGGAGGAGGGGCGTGGCCTGTGGGCGGGGCTACAAGTGCCTTGGGTCAGAGCCGGCTGGGTTAACCTGAGATGGGGCAGGCTCAGGCCGGGGGGTGAAGCTAGCCTAAGTGAAAGGGTGGGGGTCTGGGAAGAGGCTGGGGGCTCAGAGCGCGCTGATCATAGAGCAGCAGGCGGTGCTCACCCGGTCCAGGTCCAGGTCCGCCTGCCGGCGGTGCCGCCAGAAGAGGACAGAGGATTCGGAGTGTGGAGGGGTGACCGGCTCCCCATAGACAAAGAGCCGCACCACCGCTCCCAGCACCAGAGCCACGTTCAGCCCCCAGAACACCAGCGTGGGCCACAGCCACTGTGACCATCCCCACGGCTCCTCTGTGTGCAGGGATGGGGGATCAGCACCACCCCAACGTCCTCCACCCCAATGTCCTCCACCCCATCCCACCTCAACAACCCCACCTTGATGGGCTCCACCCCAGCTGCCTCACCCCAGGCAGCCCGTACCACACGCACACCCCAACATCGTGCCCCCACCACGGTCTTCATTCCAACAACCTCCAGCCCATGCTCAACCCAATGGCGTCCATACAAATACTCTTTATGCCATGCCTTCCCCAACAGCCTCCATCCTACATCTATCCTCAAAGCCTCCAACCCAACGGCTTTTACTCCTCCACATCCACCCCAATGACCTCCACTGCAATGTCCTGCAACCTGTTCCAGCCCAAAAGATCTCCACCCCAAAGGCCTCCACCCCATGCCAGCGCTTACCTGCAGTGCCAGACTCAGCCATGATGCTTCTTCCAGGACCAGCAGTACCCAGGTTCCCAGATGGTGCCGGAGCACTGGAGCCGCGGAGCAGAGAGGCCAGGGGGTTAAAGGAGAGGCAGAGGAAGACGAAGGCACAGAGGGCCATTCGGGAGCGGTCCAGCATGCCCTGACTGCCAGGTGAGGGTGGTGGGTGCTCCTGCTTCACCTGTGGGGGAAAGCTGCCATGAGCCATGGGCACAGACACGTCCTGGACATGAGCACATGGACACGAAGCATGGTGATGGAAGCACGAGATACAGGGCATGGAGTACAGAGCATGGGTATGCGTTCCAGGACACAGACAGAACGTGGGGTATAAGGCATGGATATAGGGCAGAGAGCATGGACAATGCACGGTATTCAGGTCATGGATATGGGCGTGGGTATTAACATGGACATGGGAGTGAGTGGCAGTGCAAGTATGGATGTGAGTATGGGGCTGAGGGCATGGGTATGGAACAGAGCACGGACAGGACAAGGAGCATACAGGGCATGGGGTACAGGACAACGCATGACACTCTCATGGACAGGGCACGGGGATGGATATTGGTACTGGGTTACAAGTATGAACAAGATATGAGCATGGGATATGATGATGTGGCACAGGCACGGGGTGCAGGCCGTGGGGTACAGGGCATGTGCGTGGGGTAGGTAGCAAGGACACTGCATCACCGATGCTCCCCACATTCCCCCCTCCAGTCCTGAATTGAGTGAGGAGCAACCTAAGTGACCTCCTTCTCCCACACTTGGCTATTGCCCCCCCCAGCACACCCCCACACCTTGCTGTGGTTGCAGAGGGGGCTGTCAGGCTCCGAGTCACTGCTGCTGTTGCTGCTGCCCCCGCTGAGCGAGAGCGGGCTGCCGCGGGATGGGGAGCCCACATCTGAGGGCGGCGGGGTCAGCATCTCCATCACCTCCGCCTTCGCCACCTCCATGGGCGCCTCCGCCTTGGGGCCGGCACCGCAGGAGGCCACCAGGTCCTTGAGGGACTCTGTGGGGAGCGGGACAGGATTTAGAGAGGGGGTGATCACCCCAAAACCCGCCCTCACTGTTCCAGCATGGCACTCACTGCTTTTCTGCATGGCCATCTTCAGGCTGAGGTTCTCCTGCTTCAGCTTCTGGTTGCTCTGCTGCAGGAAGCGGATGTACTCGATGGCCTTCCTCAGGATCGCCGACTTGTTGAGCTGTGAGGGGCAAAGCACAGCTCAGCCCCACGCACGGCGCCTTCCCTGCCCTCCTCCCTCCCCATCCCCAGCGCAGCCCCCACCTTGGCCTCGGTGCCCACCACCAGGTCCTTCAGCTCCACGATCTTGTCGTTGATGGAGGAGCGGTAGCGCTTCTCGATGGCGTTATGCGCCGTCCTCTTCTCCCCTTTGCTCTGCAGCAGCGCTGCCTTCCCGCTGGGCGCCAGCCGGTTGATGGGCAGCTTCTCAGCGTCCACCACCAGCGGCACCGTGGCCAGGATGGTGCCCCCACTCACCAGAGCCTACGGGATGGAGGTGGCATGGAAGGGGTCACCAAGCACCCCCACCCCAACCCAGGGTCGTGGCATAAAGCCCATTTCTATGTGAGCCACCAGGCTGAGCGTGGCTCGGTCACCTACCGGCACCTGCAGTGGAGCCGCGGTGCTGCTGGTGGCCAAAGAGGTGATGGAGGAAGTCTTGGCACTGCCAGCATCTGTCTTGACAGCTGTCAGCAGCAGGGAATCTGCCTTGATGAAGTGGGGCTGCAGCAGCACCTGAAGGGCCAAGGAGGGGTTCGCGGGGCTGCGATACAACCAAACGTCCCTTATAACTGCCCCCCAGCCCTGGGCTTACCGGCACCGGCTGGATCTGGGGTGACACGGGCTGGGTGGTGGCAGCGGGGCCGGGTGCCAGGAGCTGCTGCGGTGCCACGCTCTGCACGGGGCCAGGCAGTGCCACGGGCTGGGCTGGCTGTGGGGTGGGCAGGGGGCTCTGCGCAGCCCCCCCAGGCTGCACAGCTGAACATGGAGCAGAAGGCAGCGTTACAGGACCCCCAAACCGACCCCCCAACCCACAATTCACACACTCCCAATTCACCCCAAATCCTCACCAGGGAAGCTGTGCTGGCTCTGGAAGCCCACCATGGGCTGGGAGCTGAACTGCCCAGGGGATGCGGGAACGAAGCTGGAGGCCAGCATTACGCTGGGCTGGGGCTGGCTGCTGGGCACGGCCACAGGCTCCTCCTTCACCCCCGGTGCTGCTGGAGGTCCGGGGGCTGGTAGGAGTGGGGTGGGGGACTGTGGGGTGAACGCTGACAGCACGGGGGGGGCTGGGAACACATTGCCAGTGGGTGATGGCTGGCTGGGCCCCAGGTAACTGGTGGGGGCTGGGGGGAGCCCCGGAGACACTGTGCTGTCAGGGGCAGAAAACGGCACATCAAACAGCCCCGAAAAGTCATTGTCCGGTGTGTTGATCAGCTGCAGCATGTCTGAAAAAAAACAGCCCCCCCAGAACTGGTCAGTAGCAGCCCTAAACATCAAGGGGGGCCTCAAAGCCATGGGGGTCTCCAGCCCCACACTGCTCGCCCCTGCCCAGAGATGTGGGAACCCAGAGAAGCACCATGCCAACCCCAGGGGCAGTGGAGCTGATCTCAGCCTGCTCCAGGGAAGCAAAATGGGGAGATATCACGTTGTGCCAGCTCATTCATTAGAAACTAGACACCAAAACCTTGACAACCCTAAAAAAGCCCCCGAATCAAGGGCTGAGGAGCTGGGGCTGGGATAGGGAGGTGGCACATCCAGATTGCATCAAACCCCCCCAACCCCAGTGCCACGTGCTGCCCCACTCACCCCCAGGTGGGCAAAACAAAGGGTTAACCAGCACCGAGCCAGGAGGTCTGCCCTGCACACCGAAGCACTGGGGACATCCCCACAAACACACCCCAACACATCAAAGTATTCTGAGGAGCCCCCATAGAGTGACCCCCATTTGGGAGCACCCCCACCAGAACCGCGGTACCCAGAGATGCCGCCACCAAAGTGACCCACGAGTGCCCCCAAAGCCCCCAGATGCGCACCCCAAAGTGACCCAGGGGTGCCCCACGCACCGGGGAGAGCAGGAGGAGGAGCGGGGCTATCTTGCAGCACGCAGCCCATGAGATCCCCCATGGCGGCGGCTCAGCCGTGTGCCGAAGGCGGCAGGCTATTTTCAAACCATTTTTCTCGCCTCCTCCCCGCTGCCGCCCGCGCCAGGCCTGGAGCAGAGCCGGCCGTGGGGTGATGCGACTCCGCCAATCGCTGCCCGCGCGCCCGCCGGCCGCCCCCAGGCAGCCCCAAGGTGAGCACAGCGGGTCACTCGCGGGCACCCAGCCGAGGGTTACTCCAGGTCAGGCAGCGTTAACTCCTTCACTGCACGTCCCGACGTCCCACAGAGATGCCGGCACCCCCCCCTGTGCACGGAGGGGGGCTCAGCTCGGGACAGCCCCAGCCTCGCTGGGTGTTTGTATCCCACGGAGCACCCCCGGCCCTGGGACGCTGCCCCCACCGCACTGCTCTGGGGGACCCCACAGGGCAGAGCACGTACATTAATGGGGACCTTCTCTGCGGTGTCAGCGGGACCCAACCGTGTCACCAGTGAGGGCACGGGGATGAGGGGGCACCCAGGGACAGTGGCAAACCCACGGTAGGTGAGGGCGCTGTAGGGCACTTATGGTCACGGTACAAAACCCCGTTGGTTTCCCTCCTCCCTCGCCCCACGCATGGCCACACAGGGCTCCTCGAGCTCCTTCCACCCCACACGTGGGCCATAAACACATGGGGATGGGGACACGCACAGACCCTGGGATCGTGCTCAGAGCGGAAGCGTTTACATAAGTGCCCGTCAGCAAAAGCCCTCCCTGTAAATACCAGCAGCACACCCAGCCCCTCTCCATTTGGAGATCACGGGGCCAGGGAAACGCTCCCAGAGGGACACCCTGATCCCACCTGCCCATCCCTCTGCTCCCTACAGCTTATGGTCAAAGAGCAGGGGCCACCGTGATCCGGGGCACGGTCTCAGCCCTGGTTCGTGTCCAAGGAGGGCAGAGGGGACGCCAGCGCGGCTCCGGGACACAACACCTCGCAGGCAAAGTCCTCCCGTGCACAGGTGCAGCAGGATGTGCCGCTTCCCCTCCAGCGTGCCAACGAGTTAAAGTTCACCCCGTGGCTCGGTTGGGTTCAGCTCCAGCTTCGGCTGCTGGAGGAGAAGGGGCTCCCAGCACCGACCCCACAAAGCACCCGTGAGCCCTGCGGGATGCTCGGGGGCTCTGCCAGCTCCGTCCCCGCCCCGCTGCGTGTTCCACCGGCTCTGCCGGTCTGTGCCGGGACGCCTCAGGGCCCCGAAGCGCACCGAGCCCAGGCGGAACGGCACCACGTGCTGCCTGCGTGCCTGATGCCGGGATGGGCTGGGAGCTGCGGAGAGGGTCCCGTTGGTGGCGTGACAGGGTCCTACTGGCACCAGAAACAGCGTCTCATTGGTACCAGAGAGCGGGTCACCCTCGGTGCTATGATTGGGTCCCACTGGCACTGGGAATCGGGTCCCCATTGGTGGTGTGACTGGGTCCTACTGGCACTGGAGATCGGGTCTACCTTGGATCCCACTGGTTTCGGAAAGAGTCCCCTTTTGGTGGCACGATGGGGTCCCACTGACATCGGGGAGCGGGTTCCTATCGGTGGCACGCTTGTGTTCAATAGGCGCCGTCCCCATCCCGCAGAGCCCCCCAGGAAGCAGCCACGGCACCGAGCGGCTCCGAGAACCCCACGGTGACCGGGAGCTGTGGTGCAGGTGGGTGCCGTGGGCTCCGGAGCCGGGGACGCCCCGCGGAGCACCGCGCCCCGAGCCGCCCCACCCCCACCCACCGCCCGACGGCGCGGGGGAAGCCAGGAGGAACGACCGAGAGTAACCCCGGCGGTGACGTCACGGAGGGGCGGGGCTGGCGGCGACACAAGGCTGAGCGCTGGGGGAGGGGAGCCGTCCCGGGACCGAACCCGACGGCACCCGGCGTGCGACCCACAGCCGTGCATACGGCACCCCAAAAGCCCATCACCCCCCCAGCACCACTCCGAGCACTGAGCTCCCCCGACCGAGCCACGGTTTTGCCGAGCGTGCACAGAGCGCGGGGCCCCCCCGGCCCGGTTCTGCACCGGGTGCGCTCCGTCCCACCGACCGCGCACGGGCGGTTCGGTAACTGCACCTGGCCCCGCTGCGCCGCACCGACCGCCTGTATCGCGCCGAGCCGACACCCCCGCGAGCACGCACGATTTCTCCGAGCAACACCGACCCCGCCGCCCCGGTCCCGCTCCCTCTCCCCGCCCCGTCTCGGTCCCGGTTCGGTCCGCACCGTCGATGTCGCTGAGCAGCGCCGTGTCGATGTCGCTCGCCGCGCGGAGCTCCAGGGCCAGCCCCTCCAGGGTGGCATCGTCGAAGCTGAGAGCGCTCATCGCGGCGGCTCTCACGGGCAGCGGAGCCTTTAGGACCGGGGGGGCCGCCTGAGCTGGGCCGGTCGCCGCATGATCCGGCGGAGGGACGGGGATGCGCGGCCGCACCGTGCCCCAACCTGCTGCCGGGCGGGGGGGGGCCCTGAGAGCGGCCGCCCCTCGTCCCGCCCCCCCTCGGGGTCCCCGCCCCCCCCCCGGTAACACCGGGACCCGCTGCGGGAGCGCGCACTGGCGGGAGCGGGGAAAAGCAGCGTTGTGGGGTGGGTGCGGGGTGCCTCCGGCGTGTGCCGGCCCCGCCGTGCGGAGCTGTGTTAGGGAGCTGCAGGTTGGGAGTAATGAGGTTTGAGGGTGCTGCGGTTTTAGGGAGCCGCGGTTTTAGGGTGATGACGTTTTAGGGCTCCTTCTGGGTTCATCCTCTTCCACCTTTTTGTTTCAGCCCGGGGAACAAAGCCCTGAAATTTGGCCCACCTCACCGAGGCTGCCCGTGGGTCAGATGGAGCTGGAGGAGCCCCGCACCGCTCCCCCACTGCGCCCCGTGCGTCGTAGGGACCCACGGAGCAGCACTGCGGCACGGGGCAGCGCCGCTCCCACATCCCCACCCGCAGCTGGAAGATGCTCCATAACCCAAACCCCGGGAGCCCACGACGTGCCGTGGGGCGGCTCGGGGGGCTGCGCGTTGCCCTCGAATATGAGACCGCTGGGGACCGCAGGGCAGCGGAGGGCAGCGGGACCCCAGGTGCGAGCGGGGGCACGGAACCCCAGAGGGGTTTGGGCATCGCTGAGCGGGGCCGGGGCGACGACCCACACCGCGCCACGCGGGAAGGGGAAGAAACGGCACCGACTCGGCGCCGTTTTCCCGTTCTGCGCCTCCCCTGAAAACAGAAGGGCTGCGCCCCACGCCGCGCTCCCTCCGAAGAAACCGCAGCCCCCGCGGGGCGGTGCGCTCGGGGCCGCGCGGGGCGGGACTCCCCGGAATGACGGCCGGAGGGAAAACCCCGCCCGTAGAACCAGCGCGGCGCGGCCAATGAGCGCGGCGGGCGGAGTGGGGTGATCGCGCATCACTGCGCGGGGCTGCGTGACATCACGGCGGTCCTGCGAGGATCCACGTGGTGCTCGGCGTGCGGCCGCTGGGAGGGAACCGCCGCCGGGAAGAGGCGGGCGGGATAAGCGAGCGGGCGGGAGGGCGGCGAGCGTCGGGCCGATCGGGATCGGGACGCGCCGGGCTGCGGGCGGGGCGGCCCCGAAGCCCTCCGTCCTGCCGTGCGGCCACTCCGTCACCCGGAGCCTCTTCTGCCCGTCAGTAGGGCCGTACGGAGGCGCGGGAGGCTCCTCCCCGCAGCTCCCGATGGAAGGACGCGGCGCGACACAACACCGCGACACAGCGCGCGCCTCCGGTCCACACCAGTAGTGCATTTATTGGAGTATCTCACATGCAGGAACCAAAGTAGAGATGATTTCTGGAACAGGTTAAACGATGGCAGATTAATACAGTTGTACCTTCCCTACGTGAATACAGCAACGTTTTAGTGTTGGGTTTCTTTTGCTTTATGGTTTGTTTCTCTTTACATCGTCGATCCCTTTACAGTTATGTCCCCCTCCTTTCCCTACCCCATTCCCAAACAAAAAAAATATCCAGTATCTTCAGTAAATAAATATTATCCACTTTTATCTGGAAAGCCTACGGCTGTAATATACAGAGAAGCTATTACACAGGTTACATTTGTAGGGTTAACGATAGCTCATAGGAACATGTACAGAACGAGGAGCCCGTACTCATAAAAACACAGAGCAGGTGGGAAGCTCGGCACGCAAACCCACTCACTGCTTCACCATTTCCATCCCACTATCTGTCCTGAGCTGTTTTTTTCTCCAGGTAAGGCTCAGCACGCCCTGCGGTCAGCACGGAGGAGGCAAACAAGGACAGGGATGGGGATGGAGGGAGCATCCCTGAGATGTCCCAGCAGCCTCAACAAGACAACGGGAGGCCATGAGACGGACAGGGCTGCTGCAGTGCAGCTGTGTTTGCTCTGCACGTCCCGCATCCATGGCTACAAGCAGAGCACCGAGCAGAGGAGAGGAGCAGGCGGTGCTGCTGGGATGCTGGAGGAGCGCAGCTCTGGGTTCTGCTCGGGGATGGAACCCACAGCCCCCAGTCCAGGCCTGGACCCACCGCCCGGATCCGTTCTTCACCACTGGAGGGAAACATCTGTCTGCAGCCAGCTGTGCTCCTCCATCGGAAGGAGGAATCCGGACCCCAGAAAGCAAGCAGCCACACAGACAGAACACCCCACTGAGGCCCTGCTTCAGCTCAGGGTTGCACAACCAGCCCCAAACTGACCTGCCCATCTGCTCTGTGCGTCCCACAGCCTGCGGCTGGGCTAACGGGGAGGGCCCTGTGCACACTGGCTGTTCCCTTTACAAGACACCTTGCTGTTTTTACGAGCAGTTCTCCTCTGCGCCTCACCTAAACACCCTAAACGTCTGTACAGCACATTGCTACCTATCACACCTGCCAAAGGTGCAGCTGCAGTCTACACGTAACAGTTAAAAAAACCAAAAGGATGTATTTAAATAGAAACCATTCATTTCTTACATCTCAGCACACGAGGGGTTAAAAGAAGAGGTTAAAAACACACTGGAAAGAAGAAAAAAAAAACAACCCAAAACACCGACAAAATAAATACCTTAACCTAAACAGGGTTTGATTAGAACTCAGGAAGGACCCGGCAGTAATTTAGTGTCACAGCATCACACTGCAGCTCTGCCTGCCCGGGGTTTCCCACGGAAGCGGCTCTGCCTGCAGCTCCATCCCTGTTCGAGGAGGAAAAGCGAAGGAAGAAATCCCGAGGTCGCTCTCCAATGCGAAAACTCCTCCCCCTTTCCCGATCGGTTTCCACTGCTCAGGTTTTCAGCAGACCGCAAGAGGAGGGAGAAGATGAGAGATCCTGATACAGGAATCTGTCCCACCTGTGCAGGCAGGCCGGGGCTGCACCCTGCACGTTTCCTGCCCGCCTTGCTCCAGCACAGCTCGCTCTGGGACCCCTCCCCCAAAAGCCTCTCCACCACTGCCCCAGCTCAGCCCTCCCAAGGAAGGCACTGCCCTGGGGCTGCCCTGCTCCCGGCTGGTGGCACCCCGTGAGTAGGGCCCCAACTTCCCAGCAAAGAACTCGTGGGAGCAAAGCACGCCTTACGGCGCTATGGGCACAGAATGCCGCGAGTTGTGCCAGCGCACGCTCCTTCAGCCTCAACCTTCTCGCTTCTCTACTCTGCTCTATTCATCACTGGCAGCTCTGCAAGCTCTTCCAGATTCTCCCTAAAACGGGAAGGCCCAGGATAGGCTCAGCGGGAGCAGCAGGGTGAGCAGCTCCCCGCTATGCTCAGGTGCTGGGGGTGAAGCTGGGACACGGCAGAGCTGTGCTAACAGCGCCGGTGCCGTCATTGCCGCTCAGCGTCACACGAGCACGTCCCCATGCTGGAGCAATGCGATTATCTCCTGGGGCTTGGCAGGGAAGCTGGATTAACGTGCTTAGAATCACCTGATGTGGCCATTTACAGGGTCAATGCGTTTCAAGGATTTAGAAGAGAAAATCCACGCTTCAAACACCCACGGAGCTTTTTGCATTGACAGGAATACCAACAATTCATTCTGTGCAGGCGAGAGCGCTCAGGCGATCAGCAGACGCTCCTGAAATCAAAGCAGCGTCACGACAGAAGGATCCTCGGGTTCCTGGGAGCCGTGGCTGCAGCTGACGTGCTGCAGGAACTGGCAGCAATGTGCCTGGCAAGCAGCACCTGAGCACTGCGCTCACCCCGTGTCAGAGCAGCAGTGCATGCTGCTCCATCCTGGCTGTGTTACAGCTACAGAGAAGACAAAATAGAGAGAGCTGGCCTGGGGTGGCCTGGAAATCCTGCACCAAACAGAGCTTCCCTCTGCAGATGAAATGTGACAGCTCCCAAAAAGCACCAGTGCTGTGATTCAGCCATTTGGGAAAAGACAGTGTGCATCACAGGCTGCCAAAGCGTGGTGTGCCTCGGAGAGCATCTGAGGAGCTGAAATTACCATGCCCAGATAAAAGCTGTCACTTTCCTTTCAGCTGTTTGTAGCATGGCCTCTCAGTCTAGAACAGTGCCTGACGGAGCTGCACCCACACCAGCCTGACATGTATCAGTGTCCAGGCCAGAAGGAGCAGGCTGGGCAAGGCAAGGCCCAGGAGAGGGGTGTCCATGTGATAAGCTGCCTCCCTGCCAGGCCAGGAGCTTCTCTCTGCCACCCTGTGCCTCCGGTTTGCTCCCAGGGAACATGCTGGGCATGCAGACTGGGGGGAATGCAGCCCTCTAGGGGCTGGGACGGACAAAGGGGCGGAGGTGTTGAAGGACGCTCCAGAAACGCTTGGGATTATGACCAGCGCAGTCAAATCACCCCACATTCTCAGGCCAAGAAGGAAATGAGGGGTTTCGCCTCCAGCACAGCCATAGCCAGTCCTTCCACGATAACTCTGGGCATTCTCACAGACACCTCTGGCAGCTTTGCTGCCCTTCCCATCACAACTAGCACCGAGAGCCCTAACAGCTACGTCAGGGAATCCAGGAACCTCGGTTTGCACCCGGTCCATCATCAAGTCCCATCCATCTGCAAGGACGCTATTTACAACAGCTGAGACAAATGCAGAGCTCTGCAGTCACTGAAGAAGGAATCTCAGGGAAGGAAAAAATAACCTCGCTATTTTAGAAGGCAAACACGCTAGAGAAAACCCTCCTGTGAGAATGCTCTCCCAAAGAGCAAAATGCTTCATCCGCTCACATTGCAGCATCCATTCAGCTCAGCGTTTTTCATTCCTGACAACTGCCAGAGCTACTGGACACGGCCAACAGACTGCTTTCAAATTAGAGCAAGCCCAGATAAAACACAAGGAAAAAAATACCCTGTGAGATTAAGAATATGAAGCGCTGCACAAAGTGGGGAAAAGCGACCGCCATATGGTACAGGGAGATGTGTGAGAGGGAGAGTAAAGGATTTTAACTTGTGAAGCACATGTTGAAAGGGGAACAGTTGTTCCTTGCTGTCGGATCCGACACGAAAGCCAATACATTAACATTTTATCTAAAAATAAAGACACGCTCCCCCTGCACATTCCAGCTCAGTCAATTACACGCTGATCGACAGAGCAGTCGACTTGGCAGGACCTGCCTACAGAAGAGGATGATCCCTATGCCAACTGAAGGGCAAGGCTGCTCTCTCCCCTCTGGGCTTTTGTTTCAACACAGTGTGATGCAGTCATGCATTCGAAAGGGGTTTTCAGCATCAAGAGCTGGTTTTGTGCAGCTGGGATAGGAAGGAGGGGATTAAGCGAGCGCTGGAAAATCGCGGTCTGGCAGGAAGAGTGTTGGACTTAAACAGAAAGAGTCGGCTTGTGGGGATGGACTGTTGGAGAGCGAGAGAAAGGGAAGAAGGAGAAGCAACCTATGAGACTTTGGGGAGGAAAGGGTTGTTGTTAGCCAAGTGCTGTGGGAGGACGAGGTGGCCATACAGCAACGCTCTCCTGCAGAGCACGGGGTGGGACTGCGAGCTTCACAGTGCAAAGAGGGCATCCTCCGAGCGCTCCTGCTTTTTCCTGCTGGAAGGGTTTGTTGGAGGGGTGGGGGCTTCCAGGGGAGGGGACGGCAGGTTGGGGACCATCTCCGCTGCTTTGGCTCGCTCTTCTAAAAACTTGTCGAATTCTGCAACGCAAAAAGGAAAGAGAAGTAAGAATGAGGGCTGTACTTCTAGCCTGAGGGACAGAGGTGGCAGGGTCTGAAGTTCCAGGGCCTGTGTTCGCAGGAATGGGTACAGACACCATTTGGGACATCCCAGCCCTGGCAGCAGAGGGAACTGAAACACACATAGCAATGGGAGCAGGGGAACCTCATTCCAAAGGGCTGAGCAGCTCGGGTACTCGCTCCTCCTGGCACAAGACGGCAGGGAAGCACTTACAGCTGGGAGGGTTCCTCATGCAATAAGCACCAACTTTCTGCTCTGATACACCCTCCTCCTGTCATACTGAGTGCAGAAGTAGGGACCAGAGCAGAGTATTCAGGCTGCATGCTAACCAGGGAGCAGCTCACAGCCACAGTCATCTTCTCTTACCTTCGCTGGTCACTCCTTCTTCCAGTTCATCTCCTTTCTGCAATTGGAACAAAAAGGAGTGTGAACACAGGGACAGCACTTGACCACTCTTTCCCCCCCCCCACACATGTAATGCAGCTGGACATCACTCATTCCCACACTCTTAACTATCTGAGCAGGGTGACCTGGGGGAACTGCACAGCTCCCACATCAGGCTGGTGCTGACTGATGTGCTGCAGGGCAGGAGGAAGCACTGGAGATGCTTCGGAAGATTGCTGGTGGCATCTGATAGCCAAATTTTCCCCACTGGACACCAATGGCTGACCCGTGCTGTTTCCACTTCAGCCAACAATACTGAGTCAAACCAGCACTGTCATGCAGTCCTGTGAAAGGACTGCACTTTGCACAGTGCCTTCAAATAAAACACACTTTCAGCTGACCAAGTAGTTTGGGAGCGGTGTTCTTCCTGGGGTGTTCATTGCAGATCTCATGTGAAAGTGCAGCAGGTTTCCTGGTGTCCGTGCTGTGCACAGACCTGGTCAGGGCGGGCTGGAGGAAGGATGCTGCTGGGCAGTTTGCCTCTGCCCATGGGACACAAAGGCTGGGATGCCATGGGGTCAGCACATTTCTACCAGCTGTGAATTTCCAACAGTCCTTTCACAAGGAATCGAGTCCAACAAGGTGACATCCTTGTCAATCTGTTAGGACATCAAAAAATGGACTAAACTGATACTCAGATGCCTCAAGCTGCACCTGCTTTGAGACAGAGAAGTGTCTGTTTGTGTATGGGGCTTTTCCATCAGGAGGAGGGGAGCAGACTGAGCGACCTCACAGCAGTGTCCAATGCCTGACAACGAAATGTCACTCAGCACCTGCTAGGTTTCTACAGTACAGAGGTTTCCAAAGGAACATACAGCAGCCCCTGCTTCACATGCATTGTACTGTTTGTTCCAATGCATCCAAAAAGGGATAAGGAAATAAATAAACATTAGCTAATCTAATCTGCAGCTTCCTCAGCTGGGAAGCAGAGAACTGAGATGAATCTTCAACAACAAAGAGGAGGGGAATCCATCTAGGGCAGGTTATCCATCGAGCTACCAGGGTGCAGCCGATGCCCAGAGCTCCCTCAGTGTCTCTCCATAAGATTCCCCCTCCTGACAAATTGATGTGACTGGGAAAGACTTCAAGCAGAGCGGACAATTTAAGTTTTCCACATTCCTTTGCCCTGAGCAGACAAACCAAGGGCTGCAGGAGCTGCGAGCTGCCAGGGAATAGCCTGTATTTGGAGGAGCAAGGGAAGGAGCCGATCCTGGTGCGTATGGTGAGCACAAAGAAACAGTTTGGTTTGCTCACAGCACATTTAAAAGAACAGTTTGAACTGCAGCTCACCCCCATCCCCAAAATGCTCCTTGATAATCAGAGTCGGGTGCTGACATCAAAAAAGAAACCTGAGTACCCAAATGGGGACTGGTGCAGCAAAACTCCAGGCCAAGAGAAGAGCTACTTTTAGCTCTGTCTTTCATTTGTTTCATAATCACCAGATAATAATCTCTCTAGAGAACTGAAAGTTATTAACGTTGAAGAGATGCTGTTATACATTTTTGTTTTTATTGTTGTTATGAATCATATCAAGGCTTCCTGCTTGCAGATTTGAACAAAGACACACTGATTTGGAAGGAATGTGGGCCTTGACATAGCAGCTCTTAGGAGCATGCCTGGAAGTAGACACATGCCTGGATCCTGCCAAAGCCAGCACAGCTTTAGCCGTGTGCTTCAGGGGTGGTGGAGAGCACAGGTAAATCTCAGCACGTCTTTGGAGGTTTAGAACTGGATGAGGCCCCTTCCTACCCAACCACTCTATGACTCTGTGCCTACGTGCTTTCCTCCAGACATGACTCTGGGATCGTGCTGCTGTGTGATGTTAGCATGGGCAGGGGAAAGCACAGCGACTTGGAAAAACGCTTTGAATTGCTGAACACAATGCTATCTTATCTCCATCTGCTTATGCATTCCCCTCAAAAGGAAAGAAGCGATATGATTTAGAAGTTTGACTGTCTTCTCATAATGAGAAATGCCAATAACTCAGCAACACATCCAGAATTATCCGTACAAGTGCTATTGCCCATGTGAAAAATGAAAATATAAAGAGTCTCACCACGTCGGTACTGAGCCACTCCTCAATGTCATCCATGACAGAGGACTGTGCAACAGGGATCTAGGGAGTGCAGCGAGAGAACAGCAAGGCAGGCAAACCCAACCACATCCACAACCACGGCCACAGAGCGATGGAAAACGCCAGAAATAAGATTAAAAACAAAACAAAAAACAAAGATGTAAGATGGGCTGGAAAAAAAAAAAAAAAAAAGTGACAAAATATAAATGGCATTTCAAATAAAGAAACAGTCGGAAAGGAAATTACAAACAACAAGGCTTAAAAAAAAACAGGAGAAAGATTATGGGGAATGACATGACTGGATGTCAGCGTGTGATGGGGCAACGTCCTGACCACACATTAAAACCATCAGGATGGGCTGATGATTCTAATCTTGATCATGAAAAGCTTTTCAAGGTAGAATATTGGATATCGGTTAGGTTTTGAAGTATTAAATTTATATATATATTTTTTTTTAATGGGTATTAGCCACGATGAAGGGTTAGCAAAAAGAGGGCCCAAAGCCTTCTGGCAAAGCTCGGCTGAAAACCATTTAATTTTCTCAGAAGGTGGAGGCAGCTTGAGACAAACACAATGTTCCACTCCTGGTCCTCCTCCCACTGCACCTAGGGCTCAAATTCAAGCAAACCTGGCATGGTTCCTCTGTCAGAGGCAGCCCTCTTGGAACAGAGGCAGAAGGACCCAGCTTATGTAAAGCACAGTGTCCCCAAAATGCAGTCGAGGAGGAGGAAGAGGCAGCAGCTGGGCAGAAGCACAGCTCCTCTCAGCTCCTGCCTCGCTGCCCCTTGGAGAACTGCACGGGCAGCTCAACAGAACGGCCACGATGTGCTGCTGTGACAGGAGAGCAGCCACAGGGCTGGGTGCTGCAGTGTGGCTGCTGCCCAGAGCCAGCAGGCAGCGACCGGCTCAGCGAGGGGAAATCACTGTGCGTTAGGAAAACCATTTCCTGACCAACTGAGCTGCTTAAACACAACATCGGCTGTGCAAGAGGTAAACAGGAAAGCACCACAATAGAGCTAATAAGGACAAGCTTCAAAGCGTTTGGAAAGCATGTCAGGCATGCAGGTGGCAGGGCATGGGGCTGGCAGGGCTGTGAGCTTCCTCGGAGCTCTGTGGGGCCATTGGAGCTCTGCCTGGAACCTCTGCTGGGAGGAGAGCCTGCAGAGGCTTTGCAGGTGAGGTCACCGGGAGATGCAGCTTCCTTGCCACTATTTAACAGTGCTCTGCAACGATTTTGCCTTCTAAGGTTGGATATAAAGAAATATTTCTTCTTGGAAAGCACAGTCAGGCACTGGCACTGCTGCCCGGGGAGCTGGTGGGGTCTGGAGGTGTTCCAGAACCATGGAGATGTGGCACTTGTGGGCACGGGCAGAGGGCACGGTGGGGACAGGTTGGACGTGGTGATCTTAGGGGTCTTTTCCAACCTCAATGATTCTGTGATTCGGTTGGGGAAGGGGTGGAATTAGGGTAACATCCCCCTTTAATTTACAGCGGAGCTGAACCAAGCACAGCCAATACTGGCACAGCACGAGGGCCATGAAGGAGAGCAGGGCCCTCCAGACATCCTCCACCACGTGCCTTTCGGGGACAAGCTCCATCTTGTTGAGCTGACTCGTTAATTTAACAGCTTTGGAAAATCCTGGCTTCAGAGACACAAAGTGAGGAATCTATTCAGCCTACAGCAACCTTGAACTACTGTGGAAGTTTCACCGCCGTTTCCCCCTCGCATTACCTAACAGAGCACACAGCAAGCAATGCTGCAGAAGGTGCAGCTGTGGGAGCTGCTGGCAGCTCTGAAAGGTGCCCAAGTTTAAGGACGATATTACAAAATGTGCAGGAAGGTGAGGAGGCAATGAGCAGGTTTTGTCTGTTTTTCCATGAATAAAATAAGGGCCTTTCTCTTAAAGGATGGTCCTGGGGTCTGTGCAAGGAACAGGAATTCAAATAGTGGCTGTCCTGAAAACACAAGAGGTGATCAAACAAATGGTGCACTCCCAAGGGTGGCAGCAGTCCCAGGGCTGCAGGAGTCCTCCAGAAACAGCTCAGTTTAGGAGCTTGGGAGTCGTGCTGCTGTGTTTTGTAAGATTGGGGGGGGGAGGTGGAGGGGGAAAGGTTGGGATAGGAAATCTACTTCCAGGCAGCCCTTTTTTATAGAACAAATAAGAACCTCAGAAGAGCAGAAGCACTTTCCACAGCTCACACACAAGAAGTGCAGAGAGCTGTAAGATGAGCATTTGAGCATGTCAGATGTTTGCTGTTCAGCTCTGACCCTTTATAAAGCTTCCCCCATCTTCCAGAGCTTTCAGCATGCACAGAGAAAAGGCCAGGAGTTGCACCCACTGCTCCTGCCATGCTCAAACCTCCAATCGACTCTCCTGAGATTGAACCCCATTCTCCCCATAAAACATGAGTCAAAGGTATCAGGTTCAATCTGTTCAAAAATAAAGCAAAGGGGGGAACTTTCAAGAGTAAAGGAAAGTTTTCAGATGTTTGAATTGTAACATGTACTGTTCAAGTTCCATCTGAGACTGCCTATGCAGAATGTGGCTTTCTGCCAGCTGTGTATTTGCCACATCTCCCCCTTCCCAAAGTTTAAAGCGACAAACATGGAGTGGGCTTCTGTTAAAGCTAATCCTCAAAACATGAAGCAACATGAAAACAAATGAACCAGTACACACGTTTAAAAAGAACAAACAGCAGCAGCAGCCACAGACTGCATAGAAATGGCTCCAGAGCGGGACAGTCTTGTTCATGCATGGATTACACAAACATACATGGTCTGGTGGAGCTCTCAGCTTTGGCCAGACAGCTCCCCCAGATCGTCAGCGTTGGCTGCAAGAGCTGTTTTTATAATGATACTCTGACTTCTTTTTGAAAAGTCTATGCTTGCTGTAAAAGGAAATTAAGTCACAACATATTTTCGGGTGCTTTAAGTCACTAGCTGTAAATAAAAGATGGGCTCATGGTTCAAATCTCTCTTTTTTTTTTTTTATTATTTAGTCTTTGGAAAAATCCTACAAACGGGATCATCTCCACAGATCTGACAGGGAATTGGGGAAGGAGGGCCAGGACAACAAATGGGACGCATCAATCCCTCCGAATCCACAAGAATTTGGAATGCAAATCCTTCCTTATTGAAGTTAGACTGTGTTGGTGTTCTCTCTACCAGCCAAAGCCGAAGTATTGCCAATATGTTCCCTCAGAAGTCATAAAATCCAATATTCTACCCTTAAAAAGACGGTTTGAGGTTATTATTATCACATTTTATTTCTATTAAAAAATGATCCCACTGGAAAAGAAGCCGGGATGAAATGACAATTCAGGTCTCTAGGTGAGCTCATTAATGTCCTTAAAGCGTTTAACAAGATTCATGCTAATTGTTGCTAGACGACTGTCTTGTAGCAGCTTTGTTAATTCCACTTCTTTCCAGATGTTGAACAAAGCTGACACCAACACCTGGTTGGCTGCTACGCATCCCCTTGGTTAGCAGCAGAAACAGTTCTGTTATTCCTACAGCTGCAGCACATGGACAGGCGTTAGCAGTCTGCTCCAGCTTACCCCAACAGCCCTGTGATCTATTTCAAGCTGCTGTGATCTTGAAATAGCTGCCTGGCCTCCATATTAGAACACGCTTGACTTTACATGTAAGGATTTAATTAGCTACTTGATTACTTGTAACTATGTTTACACATTGCAAAGATGGGGAAGGCAAGAGCTCAGGTGCAGTATGTCCCCAGCACAGCCTGCTGCACCTGTACATCAACCTGCCAGGCGGGGTCTGATACAGGCAGCATGAGCCTTCCTTCACTGGGCATCAGCCTCGGCCATGAAATATAACAACTTGGCAGGTGTAGGAGCCCACATTCTCTTCAAGACAAGGGAACGTGCCTTCAGAAAGGAGAGGGGTCCAACCACGCAAAAGGAATAAGATCTTCATGCAATCCAGTCTCCAAGATGATGTCTTGCATCAGTAATCTCGTGTTACCCAACTCATTTCTACATCTTAGATCCTATCTCTCCACTGAAAGTAGACAGAGCAGCATCCCACTACATTCCTAATTAACATCTCAGCGAAGATTCTGTTCAGTGTTTACTCACATATCTTTACAGCTCCTCTCTGGCCAGGCAGGCTGCTGGCGGTCAGGCTGTGAGGCTGAGGGCTGTCCATCCCTGCTGCTGTGAGCTCTGGGTCAGTTTCGTTCCCCCTTCATCTCTGCCTCAACATCTGTCCTGACGCCGTGGTTTAAGCAACACTCGCTCCATGCTTTTGCAACAAATACCCACTTGGCACGGGAGCAGGCAGGCAGATTATTCTAACAACCAAAAGTATTCATGCAAATCTCAATAGCAGCTGAACTCATGAAAAAAGGAACTGGAATTACTTGCAGTAACGTGGAGTGGCCTTATGCTAAAGACTGTGGCTAAGAGCTGCTGCCGCAGACCCCCGCAAAAATGGCCCAACCTGCAGAACCCGGACCTCACTCTGCAAGCAGACCCCTTACTGGACAGCTTAGCAACATCCCGAGGGCATGTTTGAACATTTTCTTGCCAGAACTGAGCTACAGATTAAGCTGAAACAGAAACAGTTCTTCCCAATTCCCCAGGAGGTGCACACAGAGCCCTGACCGAGCCTCCCTCTGCACAGCTGTGCTGGGACACACAGAGATGGAGCGGGAAGAGCTCAACACTAAGCTTAAAATGTATCCTAGTGTGGGAAGAAGAACAGGAGATCACAACAAAAGGATGTGATGACCACTTGGGCAGGATGCTCCAAGGAGAGCGGGGACAACGTCCTTTTTGTGGTCTCAGTGCTGTATAGGCACAGTGAATAGCAGCATCAGCTCACCCTTCTTTTCTCCCTCATCTCTAAAACACAGAAAGTTACCACAGAATCTGCACACCAGATTCGTACTGGGGATGCCAGCTGTTGCACCCGTTTTGCAATTGCTACGAAGTTATATTAATACACACAGTTAAGAACTACAGCCAGGCAAGAGAGAAACAGAGTTAATGATTAGTGTAGGTTTATTTTAGGTATTTCTCTCTCACATTTAGCACACAAACAAGGTGACAGGCTTGTCAGAGCAGCGACCAGCTGCACAGCCAGCCCCTCCCCCTCCCCAGCTCCGTATGCCTCCATGAAGAGTGCAGTATCCTTTTTCCAGACTGAATAACCACAAGCCAATAACAAATACTGTTTGTTTTTCCAATAAAACAGTGGTGTGGGGGGTGTGAGCAACAGGACTGCTCTTGTAAACAGTGGAATGGCAAAGAAGAGGACCTGTCTCCACCACGGGATGATTCACGATGGACACCCAGCAGTGGCACAGTGCACCCGCACCGAGTTGGTGCACTCTGATATTGCATGCTCTGACTGTTCTTAGCCTCGAGTTTTCTGGGATGTTTCTCTTTCTGTGCACTGGTGACTCAGTCTGGGCCATTGGAGGCCCTCCCTGGAGCAAGGCACTTGTGCTCCACAGGCATCCTGCACTCAGCCTCATACTGATGGTGTGTACCAACCCCAGAGGGTTCTGCACTGCGTGCTTCCGAACCCCGCTGCAGCCAGCACTGCCTCCATAGGACTGTCAGGACTTTCTACAGTAGGTCACATTACTGCTACTATTCTCAAACACTTCAAATGATGGATGATGTAGTCCAAAAACATAAAACTACCCTTAGAACTCGGCTTTAAGGCACAGCAGAGGCTTTTTATTATTTTTTTTTTTTAACCTATCTCTGTCTCCTGCACTTAAAGCACACTTTCAGACTTCTTGCTGTAAGCATGTTGAGGAAGGACACAGAATGTGCACACATCCTCAGATTTCCAGAAGCTTGATGTTATCAGAGCACTGTCATCACTAGACACAGGATCTAAACCCTTAAATCCAGGAACACCACTGTACCTCTTGAAGCCTGAATCCTCATGCCTGTGTAATTCCCTGACTGTGGTGGAAGATGTCACACTGGGTAGCAGCTCTCCCAGTTTCTTCTTCCCATATTTAAGTACCCCTGCATTACTAAGTTCAATTAAATATGAACTAAAATTACATACCTTTATTCCAGACTGTTAAGCACTGCCTGAAAGAAGTTAGGCACTACCAGAAGAGTCTGCTTTAAAGGCACCTAGAAAGTGTTCTCTTTGCAAACAAGATGCATGAGACTTGTGTTTATCCCTTGAAAAGTGGATACTGCATAATTAAATCGAGACAGTATAAGGAACCAATCTGACCCCCAGGCCCTTCTGAAGGTGCTGTGGGATTCTACAGATGATTCAGCTGGTTACAGGCCTTTGTCCTGCACGAACCAGAAACCAGTGTAAATTTTTCCCTCTGCCCCAGGTAACGACATAGGTGGGAAACAAACTCCTTGTACTGTCTGATTTCAAGTGGTTCAGTAGGGCAGGGTGAGAGGTGAATGGAGGATGGTTATTGTAGGTGAAGGGGTTGGGGTGGGCAGTAGGAGTCGTTCCACTGGTGAAGTCCTCACCATTCCTTGTGTAATTAGCCACTTGTCTATGGGCTCCATGTCTGAGTTCCCACTTTTACCTCTCCTCTGTGTTGAGAACAGAAAAGTCCATAAAGAGAGAAACCACAGCAACACTCTTGATAAAGTAATATAAACAGCAAGTTGAAAGCTTCACATACACAGACATGCACACACGCGTCCCCCTCTGCTGCCTGGCAGCTGTGTCCACGGAGGGGCAGAGCCCTGTGCTTCCTACAGTTCACTGAATTTTAGCACTTCCTCCACACTGTTATTAAAACAAAACAAAACAAAAACCTGACTAGAAGTGAGGCTGATGTTTGTCATCTTCTTAGAAGAAGAGAAAGCGTAGGCTATACCACCTACCAAAATCAATCAGACTTGCTGGAAACACGCTGCGAAGTTCCCCTTGTTTATAATGCTGTAAGTCAGAGCAAATCTTACTTATCCTCTTGATCTCGACAGACTCTGCCTCAAACTCTACCAGCCCAACAGCTCTAGTGCAGGCATTATGCAGGAGGTAAGAGATGGCAGCCTGCAGGAGTGCTGCAGCAGCCCTTCCCACTGCCCACCTCCGAGGTTAAAGGACCTCCAGGGGCTCTGGCTCCCTCTGGCCCTACAGAGCAGGGCTGCTCTGAGTTGTGTGATACTCATCCTATGTGGGATACCCCACCTGCCCCCATTACACCAGCTAGTGGAGAATCAGCTGCAATCTCTTATGTCTCTTACGTCAGTATTTGTGCTGAGAGGAAGAAAAAGAACAGAGGGGGAAAAAGAACAAACAAAAAAACAGTCCAACTTTATCTGCTGTCTGCATAACAGTGAGAATCGTTTCTTGGCCACCTCTCCTCCCAGCTGTGATCATGCAACAACTCTGTGGCAACAAAAGCGATTCCCAATGTGGAAAACCAATATTAAGAATTCAGAGTATTTTTAGCTTGTCCAGTTTCCAGCTGTTACATCATATTAAAAGACAACTAATGCCACGTGACCGGCCGTCTCCCTACAGATCTTTCTGAGAATGACTACATTAGAAATGTTGGATGTGCTGAAATTTCCCCCTGCACAACTGTGCTGGAAGACAACGTGTGCAGAACGTGTTGCAAAGCTCTGGTTCCACCCTAGAGCTCATCTTAAATTAGCTCCCTACCCACATGAACGCACGGCTTTCATTTGCTGCTCACTGCCAGTTTTTCCCTACGTGTGCTGCAGCTGGTAACTTTAGGAGAGTTTAATTTTTATTTCCTTTAAGAAGAGACACCCATAAGCCTCACAACACTTGACAAAAAGTAATGTTTACTAATTAAAGAAAGAGTGCATTGCAGAAGGAGCTATTCTTATTACATGATACAGTCACCAGGACCTTTGAAAAGCGGCTGAAAGTCTCTACACCATCTCAGAGCCCAAAGTTCCACAACCCATAAAAACCTCCTCAAAAAACTTTGACCCATCAGATTAGCTTAGATACAGCCATCTGAACTGATAAGACTTCAGGCAGAGCAGCAGCTACACTGCTGTGAATGACACATCACACTGGTGCCTCAAGCACAACTGCCTGAGAACAGAAGCATTAATAAACACGGACGGCCCCCTTGGCCAGCAGCTAATCCAAGCCCCTTGCTTTTGGTTAGCCAGGAACAAAGAACAGAATCTCAGAGTGCTTCCCAGGTCCTCCAGTAACAGAGCACAGTGACACAGGGGCTCTGACGGTAGCACTGATGTCAGGAATTCTTCTCTCTCTCCCTGGTATACTTCTGCCCCTGCCTCCCTATGCTACCACCCCTTCCCTCAACTGTGCTGGCACGGATTTCTGTGGGACGGGTTACACACTGCCCATTTGGCAGGAGGACAGGGCCGGCAACCGGCAGACAGATCTGTGGGGTGGGGGTGCTCCTCGGGCAACCGATGCTTGAAGCTCTGCAACCGCTGCACTATGGCCAATGTGGGCAGCTGTGATCCGACCCCAGCTGGCTCAGAACACAAATTCTCTCTGGCTCAGAGCAGAAGTCGCCAGGCATGCCGGCTGCCCAGAGCACTCCCATTTCAACTGAAGAGAGAAGCAGGGCGGGATCAGCCAAGGCACGGGGAGGCAGCTCTGCATAGAGGGAGACATGTCCAGGCTGCCCTGCCTCTCCCCCGTGCTACACTGGCTCTCCCTAGTGGTCAGCACAGACTGAAATTGCATAGGGAAAGACTGTGCTTTCTTTGCCATCTGAAAACTTACTGCTGTAAACAGGACAGTTTTAAGAAGTAGGGTGGTAGAAAGGGCTGAGGGATGACCTGAGAGCTCCTTCCACTTCTGTCTTCACAGAGGCATACACACACAGTTGGCCAAGCTCATCCTCCAAAACAAGTTGTAAGGACCAGGTGGTGTGAGAGGTGGCAGCACATGGGTCCCTCCTGCCCAGGGGCAGAACAGATTGCATGCAAAGGCAGCTGTGGCAAGGCATGCAAAGCATTAAAAGTCTGAATAATTTCTTTTCCTGTCGCTTGCTCCTGCCCATGCACTTTGAGCAAAGTCTTGCAGATTAAGGCTGCACCAACTTTCATAAGCAAAGTCAAAGCAAACAGAGGCACACCAGCATTAACAGGATGTTCCCTATTTATTCTTTTCACCAACAACTCCAGTCAAAGAACCAGACCGCTCAGGCAAGCTGCAAGCACACAGGACAATTTACCCGCTCTCATTTGAAAGGCTTTTAGGTTGGTGTGCTAAGTTGCAGCTCTTTAGCAATCATTACTGAGTAAGTATTGCTCCTAGATACCAATTTCAAAATAGCCAGTACTAGCATGTCACTAGAATACAGAATGAGAAGACTCAGGCTAAGGAGCTGTCTGCAGCTTGGATTCCACACACAGCTTCAGATAACCAAACGCAGAGCAATGACCTACCCCTCCTGTGTTCTGTTTCCGAACATCCAGGGCGGATGCCAGTCCTTTGACAGCCTGTGGGTCCTCATATGTCACACTGCAACAAAGGAACAAACCACAGAGCTAGAAGGAAGCCCAACAGTCATCCATGGAGAATGCACATGCTATTTTGATTAACTTCTCTTGAAATCGAAAAGTACATTCTTTTTCTTAGAAGGACTTAAGTGCACCACGCGTATTCTAAAAAGAGGGGTGTGCTCTGTGTAAAACTAGCTAGCAGTTTCTCAGACAGCTTGATGGAGAAAAAAAAAGGGAAGACTGACATTATGAGATGGAGACAAATAAGTTATGAGGCACATCCAAGAGGTAGCAGGGGACTGTGAAAAAAGGCCTGATTACAGACTACGATTTACCAAACTTGATGTTCGGAAACCTTGATGCATGGAGGGAAACTGGCAGACAGAGATTTGGAGGCAGATGAAACACTCCTAAGAACTAAAGCAAAGAGCATGAAAAGTGCACTGACTTGGCTCATCATCACCTGTTTGCAGAGGCTGGATTTTTAAAAAGCTCCTTACAATGCTGTGTAAAAAGGACATGTACTAGTCAGGTGACAGAGGCAACTGCATCACTTGTCTGAGCACAGCACCAGCCCCTGGGAGGAGCCATGGCCGTGAAGGAGAGCTGGCTTTTCCTGGGCATGCAGAGGCTCTCACTTAGGCATGGTGGCCCGTCACACTCACATCTTCACTGCCTCACTGCTGCTCCACTTCCACAAGGAAGACACAGCAATCCTTCCCTGTGAAATCACAGACTGATGTGCACTCCTTGTTCTATTAGCTGCAGAAGGAGACAGAGGTGCAGTGTGGGAAGCTAGTTTCGCGCTTCATTTAGCACAAGAGACAGAGGGAACTCCATTAGATCTCTCTGCAATGCATCTCCTTTCTGACTGCACATTAGGGCTCTCAGCCTGAAATATCTAGTGGTAACGTGTGCCTCTACAGCAGAGCACATCTCAGCACTGACACTACAGCTGAAGCAGTACAAACAGCTGTACTAATGGCTGCAAATGAAAGATCCTAATAAGCCTGCCAGCTGAAATTATCGAAAACATATCAGCTCTGGAATATCTGCTGAAGTCTCAGCTAACCTATTTAACAACATTTCTTGGTTTGAGACAAAGTGTTGCTCTGACTGCTGCTAGCCATTACACCCTCTTGAATTTGAAACCAGGAGGCAGCAAGAAACAATGTATGAAAGTAAATTACCTGAGTGGCTTTTAATGAATCTCACTTGACAGGGATCAAAGGATTTCTTAATAAGTGCACAGATTTATTTTACATTAAAATAATTGGGCCTGTTACATACCCATGAAATTGCCAGACTTGCAGCCCTAGAGATGCAAGCCCTACAAGCATAAACAAATCAGAGACAGCATGACAGCCAGTCAAGCCACACTGCCTTGACATCCTGAGAGAGTCTCATCGCTGGGCCAAGGGGAGAGTTTAACTGATGTTAACTCTGTTTTCAAGCCCTCGACCACAGCAATTCAGCCACCAAGGTATATCCATGACCTTCATATAAAAGATGTTTATGCTCCTCTACCTTAAGCACTGGCCAGGTGGATGGGGTGACAAGCCCTTTTGAAAGCAAAAGTAAATGCAAGTTTATTTCCAAGTTTCCAGTGAACTCATTAACTAAGACAGTCAAGTAACATTACCCAGCCAGTCTGCTCTGGCCAGCAGCAAGAACTTCCCCATTTGCTAATACTAATAAAGACCAGAAAGATAAGGCCCGGATTAAAAGCAGCACAAAAACATCAAAACTACTTTTTTCCACCTGGAATGAAACAGAGAAGTTTCAGACCCATGCCCTTAGAAAATAGTAAGGCCATGAATCAAACAACACTAAAGATAAACTCCGACATACTTCTTTCGTTGCTCAGCCAAGGAACTGCCTCTTGTCTGTGCAAACATGTCGAAATCATCGCGAGGGTTACAGTGCTGCAGGGAGCTGAGTGTGCCACTGACACTGTTTGTACCCAAGTCTGCAAAAGAAGAGGACCAGTGAAACAGTATTCATGTGCAAGCAGTGCCACGACTGGGGAGGCGATAGAGGAAGTTATTAACAACACAGCTATAAACATCATCTAGTTAACAGCTGTAGCAGAGAACCTCCAGTCAAATCAAGTGATCACCTCAAGCAATTTCTGGTTTGGTTTAATGTAAACTATCCATCAGTTTCACAGCACCTTTCATTCAAAGAATTCAAATATTATTTGCAGGAGAACGGTCCAGAATATTCACTGTATTCACCCCATAGAGTGCTAAACCTTAGCAAGAATAAGAGTACAAGTTTTACCAGGACTGAAAACCTGCATCCGTCTTTTTTCCTTCGTGCTCCCCTTTGGTTAATAAATCCCTCCCTTTTGTGCCAGGCTGATTCCCAATTACAGATCTCTATAGTGCAGATGAATGGGAAAGCCTTCCTAAATGTCAAAGCCACATAACCAAAACTTGCTATGGTTATACAGCAAAAGTAGAGGTGAGTCAAAGGGTGCAGAGTGTTGTAAACTGCAAGAGCCCAACAGCTGCAGGAAGAGCTTGCATCAGATGTTCAGGTCAGTCAAGGACCTCAGCAATAGCTCAGACCTGCTCCTACACTCAAGATCTGCCTAGTTGTTCCTGCGTGCTCTTCAAGACCCACAAGATTGGTCAGGATTGAACAAGTCCATGCATTACAGCCTCATGTTCTTCAGCACTATTAAACCAGGTACTCACCAAGCCCTGCAAGCTGTGAAGAAAGTGATGATGGTGGTGCTGAGTTTGCAACCATAGGGCTCACTACAGCTGGAGAGCCAGGACCCAAATCTATTAAGTTATCTTCTGTCACCTCATTCAGGACCTGTTGGGACGTAAAAACAACACAAGTTATGAGTGCCAGAGATTTTTTTTTCTTTCCTACAGTACAACATTAAACACCAAAAAACAATGCCTGCTTCCTATAAAGACTTTTCTTCCATATTGCCAAATGGACTACTCCCTTGGATACTAAAGAGATTAATGTAGGAAAAAGAAGAGTCAGCCACTTAAAAATAAATAAAAAAAATCAGTCTGACTGCTAAGGGCAACAGGGAACTGTCCTGGAGGTCATCTACATCTCTTCAGATTTATCTCATCTGTCTGTGCCTTCATCTTTTTGCACCAGACCACTGTGAGCGTCAGAAGCCTGCACAGACTCAAAAGCAATCACAAAAAAAGTCAATAGATGAAAGAAAATCCATCAAGAACTGTAAACACAAAGATGTTTTGGAGCACTGACTTCCTGAGCTACAAGTCTGACATGCTCTTATACTCCTTTCCCATTACCCACTATTCACCACCACAGACAGGACACACGGCTGGTCTGACTTTTTGTCTGACCCAGCAGGACTGGCGTGGTGTAGCTCCTAATGTGACACATGCAGTTTGGCACTTACTCCGTTGCTGGCATTTTGTGTGGAACGTCCGGATCGGTATCGTTCAAACCTGTTTAAAAAAACAATAATCAATCAAAAGGGACCATTAAAGCCACCAATAAACAATGAAAAATGCAAGTTTATAACGAAGTCAGGGCATGCTGGATAGTGAACGTAGCTTTCATTGGTTCAAGAGAGATCCTTAGCAGATCTAACTCCAAGCTAGGACAAAGGGAGGATAGTTACAGAAGTTGCATTGTTGGCAATGTGGATATTAAGTTGCCTAATGTGATCTTGCAGCACACACAGGCCTGAAAAACACTGTAGGATTTTGTCTTTTTTTCTTTTTTTTCCATTAAGTGCTTCTTGATAGACTGCTCTGTTAGCCAAGGGACAGAAGCAACTGCAGTAAGATTGATGCTCCCAGCTAAATCAGCTGAGCACCGCAGTGACTCTTACTCCCACTTAACAGCTCCCTCTTGCTGCACTACATGTAAATCAGAAGCAATATACATGCTAGCACAGCTCTACCCCAAGCAGAACGCACCAAAAGAAACAATGCTTAACAAAACCATTCCCTAACAATACTCGGAGATCATCAGGATCTGCGCTCAAAGTCGCTGCTATCTGAGAACGAACAATACTGAGGTTACATAAAAACCCTCACATTTCTTAGGGGAGGAAGTCCAGCCAGCCAAGACCTGGTTTCTTCTCTACTCCTTCCCCATCCATACGGATGCATAGGACCCCAAATGCAAACTCAGCATGCATGAACTCAAAAAGCAGAGGGAACTACCTCCTCTCGCAGCCTTCCTTATCGTTTTTTCTGAAGTTAAGAGTTTCTTCTCATTCAAAAGTAGTAACACGTGACCTCTCTATTCAGTAAAAAATAAAAATACTATGGGTTTTCTCTCAGCTGAACAAAACACAGGGGAGAACTGCAAGCAAACTAAAGTGTTTTCATAAAGTAACAGAGGAAAACTTGGACCTAAAAGGCAAGAAAACAAATTCAGGCCCAAATTTCAATTTTAGGAAACTGTGGGTGTCTGGCATTAGTGGAAATCTAGTTCCTTAAGCTGGAAACCTAAGACACCTCCCACCTCCCATTTCTCACCAGCAGGCTGATGTACCACACATATTCTTTTACATCCAAAGCTCCACGGCGATGGCCAGAGCTCCTGCTCAAATCACTGAAAGAGCTTTGGACCCATAAGAGAAATCAACGTGACGAATGTGGAGCTTTTGGAACAACAGAGAATTGGAATTTATTGAAGCACTCAGACCACTGCAGCTATTCGACCATAAATAGCTCGCCAGCCCTGCTCAGCTCACCTTGCAGCGGATAATGGTTACAAATACGTCAGCTACAATCAGCAAAGCTGCAGATGGAATAACACAGAAAAAAAAACATTCAGGGTGACCAAACTGAGCCTTAGTGATCGTTACTCTGTGCCCCACGTAGGATGGTGCTCATGCATGAAACACGTACCATTTCACACAAAAAGTCAGCATTTGTTTCAAAGTTTGCCCCGATCTCCTCTGAACGGCTAAATCAAAGACAAAATTGAGGCCACTGAGTCTTCTTTCCAGCCTCTGCTGTGACAGCACAGATTCACAGATCTAGAGTCTAATTTATTTTTAAAGGCTTGAGAAACAAAGCCCTATGCTAGGAACAAGGAACAAAGGGTGCTCTTTAGTGCCTCGCTCCCCAGGCCTGTCATTAAGGGGAAGATTAAACTTTCCCAAGACTGTCGTATCACGTGTCGCTCCTGCAGCAGATGTGGCTGACAGCGCCTTTGTCTGACATGCTGCAAGTCCTGTGACCCACGTCCCGCCCCTGGGGACGATGCCTGCACGCCGACTCTTCAAAACCTCTGTTCTGTGCAAGCCAGGCCTTTTCAAGATGTTAAGCATTATTTAAAAACAAAACCCTTCCATGCATGAAGGCTTCGTGCACATCAGGCAGCTCCCCTCGCACCAGAACTGGAAGCTGGGAGCTCAGAGATCAGAAGGCAGATAGCTGCCGGGAGCCTCCCCAAGCCAGGCTCTGCAGAAATGCCTGTGCTGCTTCCTATGTTAGGAAGTGGAACTGGCAGCTGGGGCTGTGCTGCTCTCATTCCCTGGTTCCTACATTCACACGGCAACAGACGGTAGGAACTTACAGACTCAAGTGCCTGCCAGTTCAAAGAGTGTTGCACCATACTGTCCTGCATTTTACAGATATTCTCTACAAAAATTCAACTGCGAGGAAAAAAAACAAATAAACAACAGCATAATATTAAAAGAAACAACTGAAACAGGAATATTATCATGAAAGACAACAGAAAGGCTTTGTAAGTGCTTCCTGTGCTTTGGTTTTTTACATTCTGTTATGCTGGCCCACGGGTCCAGATAGCCAACTTCATCAACTGCCCTGCAAGTGAAAACTCAGAATGAATGTAAACAGTAGATGGAAAAGGTGTCTCACCTTTCATATCTGAGGAAGACGTTATTTAAATCATCATTCACATGCAGCAGCTCCTCTGTGACTTCTTCATTGGACACCCGTGAGATAAGCTCCACGATTCTCTGCTGCATGGCTCTACAGGTTCGGTTCAACTCCTATGAGGAATGCATTGTGCACGCACATTTTGATAAGCAGCCAGCAATAAATAGGTTTTGTTGAGTTCTTTCACAGCCAAACATATCCTGCAGCTGAGAAACACTAAGACAAGTCTATCTTTGCATGATTAAATGTCACCCAAAAGCACATCTAATCAAACATGCCCTTCAAGAGACGATGGCACAGAACTTTGAGAGCCTATTTAGAATTCAACATCCTGATTCTTCTTTAACTCTGAGCACTTCAGAAAATAAATATCTGTATTTTAGTCATCTTCCTTAAGAACAAAATATGCTAATACAAGAGCTTTCCAGAAGAGTTGTCACTGAAAACTCTGTGTCTGCTCCTCTTGACAAAACCGTTTGCAACAACTAGAAGACACGTGGTGGAACAAGCAGGGAAAGTTCATCAGGGCTGTGCAGCAGGAAGACAAGGGCAGGGGACACAGAGCTTGCCGTGCACGGAGAGAACGAGGGTGGACATACAGCAAGAAGCAGGAGCACGAACAGGTGAGCATTCTCCCCCCACCACCCATCAGTACTGAACTATACACAGAAACATTCCCTTCAGGTGAGTCCAGAGATGAGATTGCAAAAAGGCAGTGGACAGTTTGAAAAAACAAAAGCAAAAAATTCTAGAGCAGGGAGGCTCGAGTTTGTCTGAAGGAATTCTCACATTTCCAGGACAATTCTTTGATCACCAATTACCAAGTAAATGAAAAAAAAAATAATTATTTATATATTTTTTCACCTCTGTTGGTCTGAAAGGTCTCACGACCAAAGGTCAAAGCTGGTATGCTGAGGAGGAACTACAGGAAGAAACACGACATATGGCATGGCACCACTCATTAGATCCACAGTTTTACTTCAATGGGCACTGACATTTCAACTAAAGCACATCCTTCCGTCATCTTCCACCCCCCAGCTCCATTTCAGAGCAAAAATTCAGCACTAAACAAGGATGACTTGTTAGTACACAACCTTTGGGATGAAAGCAAAAATGTGTTTGTTTTCCTTGCATGGTCTGACATCCTAAGCTCTGGATAAATTTCACCTAGTGCAATCCAGCTGCCTTAACAGCTTGAGGAATGTGTTCTCCAATGTCAGTTTTGATCCCATCACTTTAGAAGCAGATTGTGACATTTCAGAGGTTTGTTTGCTGCCTTTCTGAGAGGGCTGACAGTACCTATCTATTCTGCTCAGAGCTGGCTCTCTAGCAAGCTGTTTACATTTGATTGTTGGAGAAAATGTCAGGAATTATTTAAGGAGGATGGCTATATAAACCTCAAAGCAAGGAGTTCTTGCACACAGCACCCAGCTCACAGCTTTCAAAAGACCATCCATCCTTTGTCATCAAAAGCGGGTTCTCACCAGCTCTGTGATTCAGATTTAGGATGCAGCAGTCGAAGGGAACCAGTTGGAATAAAGAATCGCTGCTGTCGTTCCATTTCATGATCAAGATCTTTAACCTTAAAGCTATGCTGTAAGGTTACGCTGTCAAGATGTTGGTAGCTGTTTCTGAATGTAAGCAAACCGTTCTACGCCGTTTTGGTCTGTCATGGGTTCCTGGAAGCTTCTTTTGCTTTGAGCTGTCCAACCAAATGGGCAGTAAATGAAAGGCTCTTTATCACAGAGCCTCTCGTCAGCTGCCATGATGGCTCCGAGACAAACACACAGCACAGCTGCATGGGAGAGACCAATTCTTGGATTGATTTCAAGCTCTGATGTATTGCAGAGAGCAATTCCCTGCCTTCCTCCAAATGTGCTATTGTGGGAGCCCATCCTCCCTGCTGGAGGATCAGAACAGCAGCCTATTTCTGAAGCTATGAAAAAGCAAATAGCACGGTAAGGGCAGTGGCTGGATACTGGCTCACAGTATTCCTCATCTGTGCTGCAGCTAGTTCATATTAACTTCCTCAGCCCAGGGGACCTCGCTACCAGGTCTGGAGAAGTAGCTATGAAGCTTGACCTGTGAGCTCAACATACAGGTTTCTTTTTCTTTCAAAGTAACAAGCACAGCACTGGATTGAGATTACCCAGGAAATAAAACAGTCAGGCCATGCTGACAGCATGAAACTTCACCTCAGCTCCTGCCTTAAGCCACTGCCTTCAGGACAACCTACAGCACATCTGCTGGAAAGAAATTCATTTATATCAAGTGGCAGAGAACCCCCAGACCCTTGGCAATTCTTAGTCCATCTGGAACCAAGTAATGTTTTTTTTTTCCTGTAATGCCAGGAATGTTTTACTACTGCACACTTGATTGTAGAGGACTTGAAAGGAGAAATGCTCACTACTTGATGAGCATTTGAGGCAGCTCCAGGCTGTGCTGTGGTAAGGAAGACTATTCAACATTATGAAAAAAACCAACTAGCAACACGCACAGGAAAGTAGTGAAAAGGGTATCAAAAGAAGTTGAGAAATCCTCATCATGAGAAGCTTTATCAAATGAAAAGCACTGAGAGATGAGATTAGCTGGGATCAAGTGCAGCCCACATCCATTACATAAACCCAGCAAGTCACAGCACTGAAGGGAACAACAACAAAAAACATCCTGCCTTCAAAAAAACCAACAAAACCCACAACCAACCTCAAGCACGGACAAGACCAGAACTGTATTTGCTAGAAAAGTGTTACCTGGAGTAATTCAAGGTCTGAAGAATCCTCTTGTCCAGGAACCATTTCTGTCAGCATTTCAGACATCACTTTGGTATTCCCACGAACAATATCCAGTTCACTGCGCAGCCGGGCAATCTATGTTAGGGTAAGAAGACAGCAAAGCACTGCATAACCTTGTGGCTTTAACTGACTCAGTGGTACCTCTGGTTCTCTCTGACTTGATATCTGAGGCTCAGCATATTCTAGTGGGGGAGAAAGGTAAAGTTTCAGCCAGGAGAAAATTTTAGAGAAAGCAACAGAAAAAGAAACAGACTGTGTAATATCAGTCACTACCACAACACAGACAGATGTGCTACGCTTGTACAGAAGAGAAGCAATTGCAAACAGTGGCTAAAACCAGATCTTGGTTGCCATCTTGTGTGTCTTGCTCAAATGTGAGGAAGGATACACACTTTTCAAGCAGGATCTCTGGCTGCTAAGTTTTGGTGGTTTTTTTTTTTAGCACAGAGAAGGATGACATTATATTAGGTATCCTGAGGGATGCGAGCTTAAGTCCTTGTTAGAAAGACTTACTGCATCTGCAAGGCGTTTTGTGCCTCTAAAGGAGTATGGCTAGTGGAAAAACTGCTTACCTAGAGCACCACTGCTGAGTGGACTGGCGCATCAGACTGTGAGATTTCATAACTGCTGTCATTAGGAGGCCACACATACAAAGCTAAACCCTAGATTTTGCAGTACAATAGGAGGAAAGATTACTAAGTAGAACCAGCCCTAGGAGGCAATCAATGTCAGAAGAGTGAAAATGAAAGTTCCTCTGCAAATCGGTTTCTAATTTGATCTGCTGAGTTTCACTCAAAAGAATAATCATCCCAATACCTGTTCAGAATTGGCAGTGATGGGGCCAGTCACATTCAGAGCTGGAGCTTGAGGAGCAGAATACGCCGTTGGAGAAGGTGAAGAATAAGAACTGGTGCTCATCCTTTGCTGAGACTGTGAATTGTGCATATTTGCTGCAGGATCAACTTCAGGAACGCTCTGCCACATCAGAAAGACAGTAGTTCAAAAACTGAATGGTGACAGCACTTGCTTTGTCAGCAACCTCAAGCCAGATAGGCTCAAATATAGAACATAATTGTACCTTGTGGAAAAGGTCAGTGCAGTTACAAGAACAGACTGGCAGGCCAGCCCATAAACAGACAGCTGCAACCAAAACACACACCCGTGTTTTTTGACCCAGGCCACATGCACATAAGTCAATTTGTTATAAGAAGTAAAAAGCAACATAAAAATAAGAGCCAAAGACAAATAATTATAACTAATTTCAAATTAGGAACTAAACTGTAGGCTTACAAGAGATGACGTGATAAATAGGTACTGGATTTAATTGATCTTGACACAAGGATTGTAATCCTTCAGTTCTGATCATTTGCATTTACCACTTCAAAGACTCATTAACTTTTCACAGTGAATAATCAGAACACCTGTGATCATTAAGTTCCTTCCTAGCAGTAGTTTCTGTCAAGTTCACATACATAAGTTTTCAAAGGTATAAAGACCTCGTGTTAGCATGGGATCAGAGGGAGATTCAGCATCTGCATACCTTTAAAATACGGGCAGGCTTTGGTTCAGGTTTATTACCAAGAGAAACAAGTATAATGCTGAGAAAATGAAGCGATCTCATATACTTAAGGTCTCTCTCTCTGAATTAGCAGCACTTATGTGGTGGTTTTGTGGTACAAGACAAGTGTACAAACCTCTGAACTCCTTTCAGATTGATGTTTGACTCAAGGGAGGAGATCCCACTAACTTACCAGCCTGTCACAATGCAGCTGCATTATGCTTCTGCCCCTTCTCTAAATTCCTTCCAGGAGTGAGAAAATAAGCCAAGTATAAAGAAACAGGAGGAGAAAGAAGAGTAGTTACCCAGCTGTGGAAAACACCCCCAGCATTGCAACATTGCAGCTTACCCTCTGTGGTGTGTGTATTGGAGATAAAGCATCAAGATCAGCCATGGGAAACTCTATGCCTTTCCTCTTAAGTTCTTCATAAATGTGCACTACTCCAGTTAAATCAGGGCTACTTCGAAAGGCATCAGCCCAGGCCTGGAAAACAGGAGGGATTATCCATGGACATTCCCAACAAAGTTCCTTCTCCATCATGACCTCAGATACTAACCACAAAAGCTTTTGTACGTTTCAGCCCCAAAGGGAAGCTGCAGTCATTAGACCTGGTCTAAAAGATCCTGCAAATGTTATTAAGACAGTCATATCCACATTCTGTATGAGTACAGCATAGCAACCCAGTGCACCGTAGTTTCGTATAGCCCCTGCCATCGTCAGTCTGTAAATGCAAATGAAAGCTCCTTCCCATCTCCTCTCCTTAGCACTGTCTGCAGGCTGATCTTTTCTTCATGTTTTGCAGCCAACCACCCACCAGAAAATTAAAAACATACAAAAGATTAAATCAGTCTAAGCAGAAATCGTGAAGCCACATAATAATCTTAGGTTATTAACATTGTGAAACCTCCTCATTTATGGCAGAAGAAAAATCAGCTGTCAAGCTTTCTTCAGCATTTTTTTTTTAAGACCAAACTTAAATAACAAGGGCTGTTTCTGAGGTTCATGTATCATGAAACATGCAGTCCCACGAGCAGCAGAGCTAACGAAGCCTGTGCCCTTACAGAGCGTATCCAACACTGAGACAGCCCAGTGTGTCAGAGAGAACGAGCTGAAAGGGAGAACTTCCCACTCAAAATATCTTTCCCTCTTGAATTCTCCTCTGTCTAAAAAGGCTCCAATTCACACGTGAGCTTTTCCTTCATGTTGGTACGCAGTGTTTCTCCTCGCCAGCCTCCTGCCCTCACAAAGCTTTAGGAGCGCAGTACCTTGAACAACTTTTCCCTGCTTTCACTTTTGCTGGAAATTTGCCACGTATTAACAATGTAGGGGAGGGAAAAATTGCAATATCATGACTCATTTAAAAATAAAGCATTCAGCTGAGCCCCCATATATGTGATATGGAGTGCAGCATGCCGGCTCCACAACTGCTGTGAGACGTGCGTGGGTTCCGGCCTTAATTCATGTAGTCATCACTTTTACACTAGTTCCTCACTTATTTTTATTTTAAAACCTGTTTTTAGCTACTTTTTGTATTGGAGAGGAAAGAAATCAAAGGTAGAAAAAACAAGCTAAAAAATAATATTAATATTTAACTTGCATTCTTACTCTGTTCAATTCTAAGAAAGCATGTCTACGATATGTACTCAGGAGACAATCCACTATCACTCACAAGCTGGCAATTCCATGTTTCTTCCTGGTTAGCAAATTAACTCATCTACTGCTCTGATGCAGTGCAAGTCCAAGCAGTCCTGTCTGAGCCATAGAAACCAGCTCCAATTGCAACAAGCCATTCTGCTTCCTTGGAAGTGACCTTCGAAACCATTCCTGATTATCACAAAGGCATTTACTGCACAAGTAACTCTACCCTTGCACTGCCTTTACATTTTCAATTTACATAACAAGTCATCTGAATGATGTTTCTACATAATGGTGTTTCCCATTTCCACTCTATGTGCAAGTGGGAGTGGAAAATGTTCAGCCTGGGATGCCCTATTAAACAATCACTCAGAAGAAACTTAGAAGCAAAAGTCCCCAGCATTTCTTGGCACTTGTTTGCCCAGGAGCATGGACTGATGCATCCCTATTCCACTGGCTTCTTATGGATCTTTTGGAAAGCAGTAACGACAGCGAACTCACTTATCTGCACTCTGCTTTTCTTATGCACTGTCTCTTCTGTAACTCTTCCCTGGAGAAACGAGATACTTTCATTTGTACTCTTCAGCTGCCCACACTGGGACCGTTATCTGCAGCAGCACGTCTCATAGAGGTCACACGAAGGACTGGGCACTGTTGTCCTAAGCACTGTCTGCACATGTTGTTAGACAATCCCTGCCCTAGTCAGCTTACCATTCAGCTAGGCAGAAGGAACATCAGCTCTGTGTTGCAGATAAGGAGCTGCACAGAGAGCTCAGGAGACTTGTCCATTGTCCAAGGAAGCGTATGACAGGGGTGAGATTGAATTCAGATCTGCAAAGACTTTGGGCCACACAATCAAGGGAGATATTTCAGGATGCTGCTGTGCAAGTCCCACTTGGCACCTCACCGTGCTCAAACAGGTGAATAAAATGCTATTGAAAAGCTGGCCCCAAATCAGTGACCATCACAAAGCAATTTTTCCAGTATGACGTTTTTTAATGCATGTTCCTTCAAAAGAATATGCCATACCTCTAAAGGCCTCCCTAAGCTTCACCTTTGGTGCCAAGTGGGAAGAATAGTTCCAGAGCCTTCTAACAGAATAAGGAAGGATAAGCAGTTGGTAATATATGCTAATTCATGTACAGTGAGAAATAGGTTGAGAAACTGAGACACAAGATGCCCAATGTCTCAGAACAGTCTAGTCTCTACATAAGGAACTGCATGGCAGCTTTCCCTGCTGGTGCTCTGGGAAGGTCCAGGAGTACAAGAGCTATATGGCTGAAGACGTATGCTGTTTGTACAGCTTTATTTTCATGCTTCCAAGTCTGCTATTAATCCTCACATTTCTGTTCTTATTAATTCCCTGATACGAACAGTAAAAAGCCTACAGAAAGGGATAAATGTAATGTTAGCAGAGCAGAGCTGAGATCAGCACCCCTGGCTCTGCAGGGAGCTCAAAAGAGCAAAGTCTGAGCAGAGCAAAGTGATCATGACACACAGGATGCTCTGGGTGCAACGTCCATAGGGCAGATGAGAGGAGAGCAGGCACTTCCCTGAATTCATCAGGCAATCTGGAACACAAAATACCCTACCAGCCCCAGCTACAGTGACACTAACAGAGCCCCCTGACAGGCAACATCCGTAATTCCCAGGCTTTCTATATCAAAAGCCACATAAGCCCAGGACTCAGAGTAATCAATATCCCCTAAGACACTGTAGAAAAGGAACCAGCAGGGAAACACACACACAATTTCTCCTTATGGGGCAGTATTTAACATCACTGCCCCACCACCACACGTACCAGCTCTCCCCCCCAAGCAGGCACCCAGGGCTCAGATCAGAGACCAGAAATAGAGGAACTCCATGTGCCACAGTGAATGCCCACCTTGTCTCCCCACCCAGCCTATTTCCTTTTTGGAAATCACTTATTTACATTGTCATGCTCTAACAATGCCCTGCCTGCGTATCCAAATAACAAATACACCAGTAGGAATTCAACTGCATGTTTAGCCACAGAAATCAGAAGTATACTTGGAAAATTATGCCATGTGTTTGTAAATGCCATCCCACAAGAAACATTGCAGCAGGTTTATATCATTTGGAATACATGGTATCTCTTAGTCTCTGGTATCTGCAGCAGCCAGTAAGAGCTTAGTGATAAAGTTGCCTATAATTGTGAAATCTCCTCCAGGCAGGCACCAGTGTTTCCTTGTGTTGCAAACAGTTGCTGGAATTAACATGGCTGTTTATTGTTAAGCTGCACAGAAGGAAAAGTGGCAGACAGGGCAATATCTGAACTGACAGTGCACTTTCACTGCACAACAACCAGAGCAGGGACACCAAAGCCATTTATCTCCTGTATCATCCTTAACTTTTCCGTAGCCACCTTTAAAAGGAATTCAGAATACTTTGTAAAGGAGGGAAATGACTCCATTCAGGGAAACAGACATAGGAAGGTTAAGTGTTCTCTTCAAATGGCAATAAAAGCTCTAAAATTTCCTGGCCTCTAATGACAAACCCATCACAGAAGCAGGTCTGCAGCTTCTAAATTTGACTGTTAAATTGCAAAGCAACCCACTTATCTTTAAGCCCTCTTGTTTCAGAGCAGAGAGTTATCTTTCCAACAAGAATCCAGACATTTCTCCCTGGATACAATTCCTCTGCATGCACGTCTGCTCTTCGCTACCAATCTGGATACATTGTTTGTTTTTACATATAAAAATCTTGCCACATTTTTAATGATGACAGCATGTTCAGCGATGGGTAGCACTGCAGCAGACAGTCCTTACTTCAGGCAGCAACATACGGAAGCACAGACGAGCCGTGTACCTGAATCAGTGCGAGTACTTTATCCTGCACAATGGTGGGGGGATTATTCTTGGGCGAGATGATTTTCACCAGCACACCATCTATGAAGTCACGGTTTGCCACTAAGACATGAAAGCGATGGCCACAGTTCTTCACACAGGTCTCCAACACCTACACACAAACAAAAAGCGTTCGTTGTTGGAGCAAAGCTCGACCACGCACACAGCAGCAACGTGGTTGGTTTCTGGCTTATTTATTTACTAATAAAACGGAAGAGAGAGAGACAGAAGAAAAGATTATAAGATTTTTTATTCTTATATTCTCAGTTCTTCATTTTTATTTCTCCAATATTGTCAAAAAGCTTCCTTCCTACACACGCATTCTGAAGTACCTTGCCTATCATCACCATATTGGACAATTCTGCAATTTACTTTTGCCTGTTTTCAAGGTAAAGAAATATAAGGTTTCTTTCTCTCTAAAGCACTTTCCAACTTGCACAGCTGAGCAGCTAAATACAGAGCATCACATCCAGAGCAGGTAAGGCAGAGGACATCCTGTCACTGTGAGATATTATCACGCTGTGGCACTCCAGCATTTTCTATGTAGCTGGGACACAGCTGGACCCGGTTGCTCTGAGCTACAAGTCATGTTTTTGGGTTGGGAATTCAGGTGAATGATCCTCACTCATTCAAAACACTCCCCTGTGAATGCTCTGGCAGGTTATACTTTGACACATTTTCCCCCTGCAACCTAGCTAGAGGCACCTTCCACTTGCCATTCAACTGCCATGGAAGAACAGCTGTTGATTTTTCTCTGAAGAACATGATTAGCATGGAGATAAATCCAACGCGTCACTTCTCCTTACAGCTATGCCTAATAACTGCTGCAACTCTCTATCTGAGGAGTCTATAATTACTCTCCTACTCCAGCCACTTTCATCAGCTCTGATGACACGGACTCACTCCTGATGAATTTTGCTCTTTCCTGCGCAATGGATAATCTCATGGTTTGGTCCTTGGTAATCTGTCAAAATGACAATCCCGCACAGGAAATGGCATGAAGACAGAAAGTACAGTCACGCTTCATCAGGGAGATGCAACAAGAGCTCTGTGAAAGAATCGTACAGATCACCCACCCACAGCAGCATAACTCGATCTCGTTATTGCTGCTCATTCCTCAGACCGCTGTGGCGCACAGCCTGCCCAGCATCACGCCTCTGGAGTGCTGCATTACCCAGGAAACCCCAGCTCTCCCCAGTAGGAAAGGTCACTGGCAAATTATCTCACACCTTAGCAGATGCACAGAATATAATTTACACTTTATTGAGCAAAATTAGATCAGCATAAATTAATATGAGCCTCCTACGGAGATCCATTCACAAGGGAAACCGTATACCAGCTACTTAGGAAGTTGAAAATATGGCAAGTGCCATATTTCCCACTTGCAAATATGCCCACAGTTGGGAGTGGAGAAACAGCCTGACATAGCAGGATGAGGGTAGTAAAGTCCCAAAGGGTAGGGACACTTGAGCTACGACTTTCCTCTGTCAGTACTTAGGCTGGAGAAGCGCACAGACAAAAGCAGAAATCACTTGAGTCACTTGAAGCAAAGCTTCCAGTACCTCTCCTCAAGAAAGCGTGGAGGCAACTGAAGAGAAAAGGGCAGAGTAGTGACCACTCACAGGAGAAGAATGTGTATATTCAAAAGAATGCCAGGAAAAACAAAATGACAAAAGAAAAGGGATCTGCCCTTTTGAGGCATTCCAGCCTGCCTCCACTCACCGTTAGAGCCAGCATGACCTCTCTGTAATTTTTGTTTCCATTCAGCCTCTTCTTCAGCGCTCGAATGGCATCCTTTGGACTGAAGGAGAAACATACCATCGTAAACAGACAGCTCACATACTTTTCACATGCCATACTGAGGGACAAGAATCCTTTATCATTCCTAGATGGACATAAGCATCTGTATTATCTTTAGATAACTTCACTACAACTAAACTAGGGTCATGTAGAATTATGTGAAAAGACAAAGTATTACAGATACTATGGGCAGAGCAATGCCTGAGGCCATCAAAATAGCAAGACGTTGATCAAACAAAAAAGACTGACAAACTCTCAGAAGGAGGCCCAGAGTTTAAACACCAGCCACGGGCTCTCCTGCAAACTGCAAGAAGCACAGCTTGTCAGATGCTGAAGGAAATGCATCAAAGAAGCTTCTCTATTCAAACGGCTGAAATTGATAACATTGAAGCACTGAGGTGCACCTACTGAAACCAAGAAGCCCCGAAGTACAAACTTGTTACTCTCTCCAAGCAGACATTTTTTTATGCCAGCCTTCCCAGGCAGACACGTAGCACAGAATATGCTGGACTTTACAGGGCTTCTCTGAAAGATGAAAGGAGGAGGAAAACCAAACAATTTGCATGTAAACTGCATTTGAGCTACAAGCACCTGCCCCCAGACTCACTGCACCTCCTCACATGCTGAATGCCACTGGAGGTGACTTTGCCCACGAGCCTTTCCAAGTTTGCTGAAATAGTGCATACCCTTCTTCTGTCTCATTGATAATGTCACAGATCTCCATGTTAAGCGTCCAGTCTTCGCTCTGTAGAGAACCATCTGTGGCCTTTTCTGAAAAGAAAATAAAACATTTATATATTTTTCTTCCCACATCTTTCTGATTAGGTACTTCAATCCATCTTCAGTGACTCAGCTGAAACTGTCCAGTAAAAGAAAAATAGAAATAAACAAGTCCCATCTTCCCCCATTGACTCTAAGCAAAGTCCTACCTTCCCTCCTGGTTTTACGGTGAGCACGGAGGTTTCCAGGCAGGATCAGTTATCCCACAAACTCACCACCTTCAGCCCACACAGATGGGCAGTTCCACAAAGACTCCTGACTTGCCAGGAAAATGTCAGCTAATTCCAACTTAAACCCTTCAGATACCACACTGTATGAGGTAGGAAAACCTCCCCCAGGCTAACAAGACCACCTTCCTGGAAGTTCTACAGGAAGAACAACCTATGGCACAGCTGCTGGAAGTCACTCATGGATGATTGCACGAGTAGCATAACCACAACTTCAGATAATCAGTTGACAAGAACTATTTCCTCTTTGGGATTTCCTTTTAAATCAACACAGTTCTGCCTAGCGGTGCCTAAAACACCCCATTACATTTTCACACTTTTCACTTGCAGTGTTCAAACCCTGTCTGTGTTGCTCTACCCACATGCAGAAAGGCTGCAAAGTTCAAGGTGAAGCCCGTGGCCAAAGAGACCCAAAAAGCAGACCTTCATGGCAAACAAGATCTTTTCTTCCAAATTAGTCTAGGTTTTTCTATGGATGCCTGGTATCCAAATAAAGCAAAGAAAAGCTTTTATTTTCCCTAATATAAAATCAACAAGGAAAAAAAAAATCTTCTAAATATCTTAATTCAGAAACAAAACCGCAGGTACCATCTTCTCCAGCTATCCTTCTGTCTTTACATCACATCCCAATCTGTCCTCCAGAACAAGGCAGATTTTGTTTTAGAACGCCGGGCTCCAAGGACTTCACACTTCTCCTTTTCTGTTTACCAACAGTGTTTTTCCATTAACATTTTTATCACTGTGACTGCGCACAGAGATGCCTGCAGGCCGTAATTACGGGACATTATCTGGAAAAAGACAATGTGTCTGGATAATTCAGGTTTCAGAGACTTGTCAACACCAGCACAGTGGCTAAAGCAGCTGCACCATGAAGACAATTACAGAGGGCTGAGATCAAACAGTGTGCAAAATCCACACGGAGAGTGAGAAGCCATCTACCTTCAGAATGGAGAAGACACCGATATCAGAGACATCGACAGCGGGGTTGAGTGCACTCTCAGCAAGTTTGCAGATGGCACAGAGCTGTGTGGTGCAATCAACACACTCAAGGGAAGGGATGCCAACCAGACAGGCTGAGCAATAGGCCCAGGAGAACCTCAAGAGGTTCAGTAAGCTCTGCACCTGCATCATGGCAACCCCTGCTATCACTACAAGCTGGAAAGGATGGTGCACGGCCCTGCCAAAAAACGACTTGGGGTAGGCTGAATATAAAGAAGATGTTCTTTATGCTAAGGGTGGTGAAGCACCAGCACAAGGTGCTCAGATGTGGCAGTGCCCCATCCCTGCAGACACCCACGGTCAGGCTGGACGGGGCTCTGGGCACTGATGGAGCTGTGGGTGTCCCTGCTCAGGGCAGGGAGAGAGACCAGACGGCCTTTAGAGATCTTTTCCAACTCAAACCGTTTTGTGATTCCATGACATGATGGAAAAGGAGAGCATTCAGCCCTCAGCCTGCTGTGTTTTAGTTCTGCAGGGGCTCTCCATCACTACGTAACAGTGCTCAAAGAACTGGCATGCGGCTTCCCTGCAGCCAGGCAGCTCTGCTGTGGGGCTGCAAGCAGTAAATCTGGGTCAGGCACGCTACAAAGAATGAACGACAACAGCAGCAAGTGCTGAAGAGACTAAAATTAGCTCCTGACTCCTGTTCGAATTAAACATCACCAAGGGGAAAGGAGCTCATTTCCACAAGACAAGCGTATGTCTTAAACCCACACAGGCTCCCCCATATTTTACACTAAAGAACAGAGACAAAACAATAAAATAAGCATAAAGGCAGTAACCAAACATGGCTGGAGAAGGGGGATTTTGCTTTTCCTCCCGTGGCTGCGGGGAGAAATAGGAATGAGGTTATTGGGGACCACAGCCCGATGTTCCTGTGTGCAGGATGCAGCAGCATCACTTCGCTTCATCGTCTCTGCAACATGGCAATTTCTAGCAGGGAGCAGTGCCACAAACACGCTTTGTCAGAATAAACCTCAGCTAAACGGGTTTTACAGGACCAATGAATGAATGGGCTGCAAGCACTGCTTGGTGCAGGATCAGCGTTTTCCACAATCATTTTTAAGACGTGATTATAGCAGAACCATGGACTATGAATATTGCTAAGCCACTGCCTGCTGTCAGACGCTGTCAAGAACACACAAATTTTTAAATATATTTTTACATTAAGAAAACAAATCAACTGCCCAGATTCAGGAATATGGTCTGTTTAAGGCATAGCCTCTCATTCTGCATCACTGTGCACATAAATCCCTCGCAGCCTGGGTGACCACCTCCAGCAGAGCAGATGCTGTGACTGTTCTTTTAAATCTCTTTAAATATTAGAGGGTTTTTAATGTTAATGTTTTGCTAAGCAGCAAGGACTGCATGGAGGTGAAGGCAGATCACGTTCTACAGCAATAAAGCTTTATGTACACTGCAAGAACAAAATGCACCTAATGAAAGTGGCTGCTACAAGCAGCTTTGCATGAAGCTGAATTCCCAGAAAACGTTGTGCTACTCTGCCTCCACTCCTCTATAGAGATTCTCCCCCAGCAGATCCAAAATACAGTGAATTATAAATACTCAATATCCAGTGCAGTATTTACTGCATATTTCGGAAGCTGTGCATCTCCTCAAAGCTCTTTCTCAATCAGCAAATAGACACGACTGAGAAAATTAATGGCACTTTGGATACTGGTGCAGAATCGGGAAGGAATGCCATGCAAACGCTGCACACACTGCTCAAAAATCAGCAGCTCCCCAAGCTCAACCTCACTGAAAGGCATATCAGTGGCACAAGGGACTCCGAGATATGACCAAAGGAATTCCAGGATAAAAGTGTTCAATCAGAGGAGGAAAATGGCTCATGCTCGGGCATGGTTCCAGCAGCACATCTCCCACATTAAAGCACTGGCACAACCGGGTGAAAAGCTCTCCAAAAATTGCATCTGTAAAAAACAGTGATTGCAGCCCTGTGTAACCAAAAAGGCCAATCTGTAGTGTTGCACTAGCTGCAAATCACATTACATGAAAACAGGAGAACCGTGGTGGTTTCTGTCTGAATACCAGAGTCTCCTGAATGAACAGATCTTTGTGTTCAGAGAAATCACAGCTTTCTCTCCTGGGTCTTTTCCAGATGTTACTTCAGAGACTCCTGCTTCAAACATTTGGGAAGAATTACGCACAAAAAAGCACCTCCTGTTAACGCAGGAAACGTGCACATTAATGCACTGCTACCCAGATCCAAAAGCAAGGAAGTTCTGATTACAAATTCCTCCCCTCCTTCAGCTAAGAGCTGACTTTTGGCATTCGAATGGCATCAAACATCCTTTCTGCTTGGTCTCGGAATTTCAGAAGATTGCAGATCTGAAACCTTTGTCTTATCTCTTAATAGTCCATCTGCCTACCAGTGGTGCTCCAAGGCTGAAATTAGAAAATCAAGCTGTCAGATGTGTCACATTTCACTTTGCATAACACGCAGCAGCAAACAGAAGCAGCCACAGTATTGCAGGTTCTTACTGCCATCCTGCTGGATTGCAGCTCAGCAGAGCTCTCAAAAAACAAGGGTGGTCAGCTCAGATCAAAGCAAAACACTTTCACAGAACAGGCAAAGGTCCTCTAAGACAAAAAACAAACAAACAAACAATCCAGTTTTGCAAATGACACAAGGGAAGCTCACAAGGGAAGATAAGCTACTGAATGAGATGAGAACATCTCTACTCCAAGCTGTAGCTCGTAGAACTGCTTTACGTCAAAGAATCGTTACAGAATCAAGCAACTGCTCTTGGCACTCTTGCATTCACCAGCTCCTCCACGGCCTGCATGGCACCAGCAGTGAGCCCTGGGGGGGGACCATGGGACACATTAGCAGTCTGAGCTGCACGAAGATGAGATGGAAGCTGCTGGGCATTCATGTGGCCACTGCTGTGTTCAAGACATCCTGCTTGAAAGACAGTGACACAACAGAACAACACACCTGGATCTAACAGTCTGTTCTTCCTTTCTCTGCTTTTGCTTTTGAAACGAGCCACAGGCACTTGGACATCATGATGATCAACAGGAGGGTGGGTTTTTTTTTCCCTTCTTATCAAAACGCTGCTATTAAAAAAATAAATGTGAGTCATTGGAGATTATAGATCAAAACTCAACTCTTAAGTGCTTTGCTCCTTAAGAACTGCCAGTTTCTTTGTAAGAAAGCACAGCTCCAAGAGCGTTTTTCAATTAGCCACCTCACTGCTCCAAGTCCTTTTTTTTTTACATTCCTTATTTCACACTGCTCTGAAAATGCTGAGCTTCACACTTCCAAAGAAAAAGGCAGTCAGCTAGAACAAACGGGCTCAATTGGAGCTGCAAAGCATTACAGGAAAACGTGATTTGGGTTGTACTGCTGCAGCACTGGTCACCCGCTATGACTGCCGTGATTTTTCAATTGATTTTAGCTATGCTTACATCGAAACTCTTTGGGATGAAGTCATCTACCCTCCACTCACTGCTTTGCCAGAGTTTCTGGGGCTGAATAAATGAATAATCATAGGCTGTAATGACTGCAGAGTCTACATTAAAACAAAATAACAAGAGAATCTGAGGACACGCATATGTGCAACCGTAACGAGTTTTGAGCTCAAATGCTGTCTGAAAGCACAGGAGACTGGGAACTGCCACTTCTCCAATTAACTCCCAGATTTCCTCCTTTTTGAAGCTGCTGCCCGCATGCCAAACTTCTTCAATCCAGATCACACTTACCTGCAAAGATGAATATGTGACACGCAATTATTGGGGCTT